TTTGAACAAATCCCGGACCCCAAAATTCACTTCCAGTTTCTGCCCTAAAGAGTTTTTGAAACAATAGTCGTTGCTTTCTCCGAGTGCTTTGGTTTTTGGGATAAACTTGGCATGAGATGGAGCAGCCGTTTGCAAGCAGTCTTGCTTCAGACTGGTCATTATAGTCACCCTTTGCAAGGTCTAACTGATAACCAGCAACAAAGAATTCTTTAAAAGAAAGTGGATACTGACGCCTTATTTAAGTTAACTGTATTAACTCCGTATTATTTCATTGCCCTGTTGTACTTTTTTTACAATTTCTTTTAGCCCTGTAACACCTCCTGTAATAATTTGACAATTTTTTTTGCTTTACTCTGTTAATGTCTCTTGTTAAAGTGTTTTTTTTGTGTGTGTGTTCTGTAAATGTAATTATTTAATGTGATTATCAATAAACATATTTAAAAAAAAAAAAAAAAGGTCTAACTGATAACGAAATCTGAATCGAGAGCATTCGCCCCCAAAAAAGAGTCGGGATTGTCACCTAGATTGTGATGTTATGTCAGACAGTTTGAGTTATTCAAATTCGCCGGTGGCACCTTCTGGTACTTCTACCTAAAATCTTCCGAAGAACGTCTTAACAGATGAAGACGTGGAAAGAACAAACGATCACAAGGCCCCGTTTATCTTCTAGTTCCAAGGAATAGTCTAGAATGTTTAGCTTAGATTGACCGTGAGGCTAATAGAATTTAATCTTTGGAACCTCGTTATCTCTTGATACTTGTTCACTTAGCTCTTTTCACTTCGAAACAAAGAACGATTGATAACTATCTTTGATAATGTATACTTGTACCATTCTCATATCTCAGGGGCACCCAACGAGAATATAGCCCAAAACCACTTAAACATAGCTTTGTTAAACGTATTTTAGTATTTAAACGGTAGATTTAGGCATATCGTTATCCCCTAATAATTTTTCATCTGTTCGGATTTCCTAGCTAAAAGTCTAGTGATCCGAAAATTATAGGGATCAAAACTTACCTTTTCGCAAATTTCAGCCAGAAAAAAGGGTCCCGAAAATTCTAGGTGACCTTTTTAGGGTAAAAATTCGTTAAAAATGGGCAATTATACCATTTTTTAGATGTTCGAAAATCCTGGGGGAGGCAGGCAAGCAAGAAATTTTACAACAAATGTTCCGAAAATTCTAGATCTGAAATCGTCTTCTGAACAGATATTTTCCGAAAATTGACGTTGGGTGCCCCCTGATGTCTAAGGGGAAAAGTTGTCTATCGCAAGTTTTAACTTTGTGTATATTTATTCATTTCGACAGATCTGTAATTGAGTTCACGCGAATCCTGGACGCAACTCGTCCCGTTACATTTGTGACTTCAGCAAGTGCGGCAACAGACAAAGCGGTACGTTAAAATTTGAACAATTTTAATGCCTCAGTAGTCGCTGAGTACTACCACTAGCAGAGGTGGTAGTAGTGTAAGACTCACTGGCTAGAACCTAGCGCAGCAACACGTTAACGCCTGTGACGTCATGCAAAGGCATCGCATCAAGATAATGTGATGTCATGTTGTATTTTTATGTTGTGCCTGGTATGACCAGTTTGATAAGTTTTTGATTGCTTGAATAACAACTGGCAATATGTTCACTAGTTTATTCATTTTGATGCCTCAGTCTGATGAAGGAACAAGTGCCAATTTCGCATTTTACCGCAAAAATTTTCCTCTTTGGTCACTGGAGCGCAAATAGTGAATACTTACGCAACAGGACGGGAGAGGGAAGAAGACGGCAAACCTTGTGTGACAAGCGATACAATAATTTTGTTCGAAATAACTTTTTGCCAAACTTCACTTCTATTCCATTCCAATAGCGTTTCTCTTCAGTTAACCTCATTTTAATAATGTTACTTCACATGCTCTTTTTTACGGCGGCCATCTTGTTATGCGCAGTAAGAGATGCGCAGTGCAAAACCAGGGAATCACCTTAAACAGAGCGGTGGGAAACTAGGTCTTTCTGGCACTAAACGCAACAAGTTTTTTCCCTCCTCCTCCAGGGAGTTTTCATGGGCTGTTTCAAGTTTCCTTCAACTCTTTATAGTGACCCACGTGGGCACCAGAGATTTATTCCTTGCGATTTCGCCGCTTGTGGCTTCGGTCTTCGACCGAAGATGTATGAACCAACTACGAATCATTTCTCACCCCTCACGCAAGGAAAACACTTCTGGTACCCAGAGTACCTACATCGGCCATCGCCACAACACTTCTGTTCCACTGTCACCACCACCACCACCACCACATTTTCACAGTTTCCCCGCACCACCACATTTTTTTGTAACTATAAACCTGTCACGAAGAAGGGGGAGATGATGTCACCCTGTCTTGATGAGATACCTATGAAGTCACCGACGTAAATGTATTCGTGTACAAATTTATGAGATTCCTGCGCAAAAGGAGTCTAATCGTCTCGCCCCTTACTACTGTCATTGAAACGAATATAGTTATCGGTTTCAATGACTCACTCGTATTCCACTAGCCGCTAAAAACCCATGTGCTGCATTATCAATTTTTTAGCTCTCTGGGCTTATTTTTGCAGTGTTTCTGAAATGGGAACTTATTAGAATGGGGGCTGATTAAAGACTGAAGACAAATTATAATAGCTTTATGCATATTTCGTTATGCTGAAAGTACATGACTACAAAGTTTCAGTTTTCAGTGTCAGTTTTATTCACTCAGTTATTATACATGAAGAATCTCGTAGCATCTTTCACGATCAGGCTGTGGCTTATTTGCGGCTAAAGGCGATTTAATTGTGATCTTGGTGTTCAGCATAGGGTATTAAAGGAGCAAATTTCGATACCTGTATAATCTAGAAGACGCCGTTTGCAAAACTCTCCTTTGAAACAGATCATATTTATATTACAAGCGCTTGGTATATTGACAGTTTAGCCTGTTCTCACGTTTTCTAACAGGTACAATTTGTGGATGTGATCTTGTGTAATCGCTACTATGCTTGGTACCAAGACTGCGGACAGACACAACTGATCAGTCTCCAGCTGGAAGGTGAACTCCGAAACTGGTTTGACAAGTTCCATAAACCGGTTATCCAGTCTGAATATGGCGCGGATACCGTCGCTGGACTTCACATGGTAAGGAACAATAATCACGTGCCATAAAACAAGAGGGCGTGAAGCGACTTGACACAATGAAGCAAGCAACACAACTTAGCAAAACATAAAATACAGTGTAATGTTTTCTCGCCTAGGACTGAGACACAAATGATGGAACAAAGATCAAAAGATTTTTTCTTTGCATCGTTAGGTTCCTCAAGTCGCTTTACTAGGGCTAACGCTCATTGGGGTTTATGGGCTATTTTTCACCCCACAGTTGATTCTCTGTTCCAGAGAATAAAGTGAATACGTTTCTTCAGAAGCGCAGCCTGCAAAAAAGGCGTTATATTTTCGCGTTTTTCAGGCAAGCGTGTTTCGAGCGAGAAGCGCTAGATCCAAACGCGCAGAAGGAGAAGGCGAGGAAAACGCGGTGCGCGAGGACTCAAAAAAGGAAACTAGGAAATTTAGAAACTGGGCTCAATTGAAAACCTCAAAAGAACCGAAAGGCTGCAGACTTCTGCAGTTATCAAAAATGCCGATACTCAGAATTTCAGTAAAAAATATCGGTAATTTTTTTACTAAATATTTGCCCTCAGTAAAATCGGATTCTTTCGTATCATTGCTGAGTGATATCTATAGTTCGTTCCAACGTTTCGTAGCCACCGCGCTAAAACCTAAAAAGTTATGTCGAAAAGTTCGTCATAGCTCAATGAAGAATTTGGTTTATAGATAAAAATAGCTGACAACCATTAGAGACACTTAACTCGAAAAACTGCAAATGTTTGGAACAAACACCAAATTTCGATCTGGAGAGTAGCGTAAATCCGCGAAAAAGAAAACTCCGATGCTCTCTGCAAAGGTAAGGTGCTTTTGAATGGAGTGCTAACTCTAAGATTTTACTCTCATAGGATCCCCCTTTTGTGTTCACCGAAGACTACCAGGTAAGAACTGGCAGCAAATCTACTGCTTTAACTGTCAATTCGTTTGTTTTAGTAACATCATATGCTTGAATCCCAAGACGACAAGAATCTGTTTGGTCTTTACTGGTGATTCTTTGAAAATCCACTTCCCTATTTTGCAACTGAGAATCATTAGTTATCGCCTCTCGGCTTTCTATTTGAACCAACACCCATGCCCTTCCTTATTGACGTCAAAACTTAAATTGATTTGTATTTTTTCTTGTTTTGTCTTTGCGCGACAGGTAGAAACTATTCAGCAGTATTTCCCGGTGTTTGATAAGCTAAGGAAGGAATTTTTTGTCGGAGAATTGATTTGGAACTTTGCAGACTTCATGACAAAACAACGTAAGATTGAGTTCTACTTAAGTATGTCCGTACAGTGTATTTATCTTGTATTAACCCTTTAAGCCCCAATATCTGCATACAAATTCTCAAGACTGATCTCCATACATATCCTTCAAAATTAGTTGAGAGAATTGGATAAAAGATCAGAGATTGATCTCCTTGTAATCAATTTATTGATTCTCATAGACTTTGTTCTTGACAATCTATGGATATTGTTATGAGAAAATTGATGTTGGTCACTATTGGGACTTAAAGGGTTAATGTCCTATGTATTGCCTCCCTAACGTTCTAGCCCATTATGGTTATTCTCTCTCCCCGCCGCGTGTTGGCTTTTCTCGCGTGGGGTGATTTTCACGCGCGCTCGCGTTTCGCAGGCTCTACTATCCCTGAGGAAAAATGGGGGACTACTCGTAGTCTAGGTTATCTAGGCAGCCCTGCTACACTCATCCTCATCCCACTTTGTTGGATACATTTAAAGTTGTTCTGTGTTTATTAATTGTAATCTGATTACCAGTAGCCTGCGCAGCACGTATCGTCTAGACCACTGGTGCAGCCCTATACGGCGGTTTAGTGTGTCTGCAACGTAAGGTAGATCACCAGTGAGCGCGGAATTCGTTATCATTTCATTAAATTATTATACATGTGCGATCACGTACACTCGAGCTGGAGTGGTCTGGAGTTTTATCCGCAGTTTAACTTTCCAAGTACGAGATTTTTCATGCGATTTGTTCTGCTGACCCGTCACTTGTTCAAGGGTGGTTGTTAGACGAATTTTCATCGAGCGCAAGCAAGGCGGCACAACTGCATCACCTTTCTAAACAGTACATGTGTAAGTCACATGTACAGCCATGGCTTTATAACGTGAATTCATTTACATGCACATCACGATTATAGCCTTGAAAACCTGTCCACTTTGTTTCGTTTAATAACAGTTTTACCTTTGAAGAATTTATGTTTAAGATTCGAGGTTTTTTAATCAAAAAGGGAGAAATACGTCTCCTCGCGCATGAAACTGCGCCGATTGTGTGAAGAAGATTAAAGTTAATGTTAACAGGATTATGTTTGACTTCCTCTAAGAGCGGAAATTCATTCTTACGGATTAACAGTTGTTCTTTCCCCCTATTAACTCTTTACAAGGCCTGTTTCTTAATAATAGGTGCCATTTTAAGATACTCATAATAAGCACAACCTCTGAGTAGAACAAACGTACATGAAAAGTATAACACATAATGAAGGATATTAATGAGGATACACAGAAAGAGAAAACAGACTCCATTGAGAAAGCTTGGCAGGCAAGTATTTTAGGGATACAGCCCAAGATTACAAGGATGACATTGGATTCTAAATAATCAAATTTGTGAAAAGGGGATTCGTCATTCATTCATTGATCTCTTTGCTTGATATTTCTTTAATTTCATTAATTTTGCCGGTGCATTATAACTCGCTTGTAATGCTGGCAAAGCCAATTATTACTAAAGAATGAACAACGCGCGCATTTCTTTCTACATTTTATAAAAGTCAGCAATACAAGAAGGGGAAATTTACTATGCTGTTATTGTAGGTATAGTTGAATTTCTGAGAAGGTTTCTTGTAAAAGGTATTGCATTTTCCTTCCTCCTCTTTCCTTTCCCTTTGTATACAGTATTTCCAGCTTCGAAATAAATTTTTAGCAAGTGCTCCATTTAAAAGACTCATGTTATGCCCTCTTTCTGGTAACATGGCCTCAATTTTTCAGGCGGTCAATTTTTTAAAATCTAGCTTTAGGTAGATGTATTTGTGTCATACGAATTGTCCTGCCCTGTTTGCGCTGCTTACTAACCGAACATTCAGCCCATCCTGGAAGGGGTAAAACTAACCCCCATCCAATTATGTTGTCTGTTTACAGAAATAACGCGAGTTGAAGGGAACAAGAAAGGAATCTTGACGCGACAACGACAACCGAAAGCCGCTGCGCGTGTTCTGCGTCAGCGGTACTTGAATATCTCCATGGGAAGAAGTTAGACCACAAGATCACGTTTTTACACATTTGATAACCATAGTATGGTGGAATTTGTTAGAAGCGATAGCGGAATCAATGTAGTGTAGTACTTTAAAAAATTTTTAAAATGCACCGGAGAGATTGGGGTCAATTCAACAAAACGTTTACAAAAGTGATTTACGAATGACGCTATCTTTTTAGAATTTGAAGACAACAGCAGCATTTGTAAAATACACTCGTAAAAGTTTCATTGAATTAGCTCACCAGTCTTGATAAAGGTGCAAGGAACTGTGAAATTCCACTGTAGTATAGAATCAGTAGTTCGAGGAACTACGAAAGTCCAAACCCAACTCGCTCCGTTCATTCACTTTATGAATTTTCCCCTTCGTCTCTTTGTATCTCAAAGTCCTAAATGCTTTGTAAATTATCTCTGCAAATCTTTTGAATATTGCGGCTTACTCAACTGATGAATTTGTAATACGGTTACTGTAATTTGAAATAAAAAGGATTTTATACAAGCACTGTGGTTAACTTCTTTTTGGTGACAGAATTTCCTGTTTTTCGACGAGTTGCCTTCCCTTTGCATTCCCTACTTGCTTCCTCTTTGCACTCGCTAGTTGCTTGCCCTTTGCACTCGCTAGCTGCTTCCCCTTCGCAGGGAATGCAAAGGGCGAGCTACCAGGGAGTGAAATATGTTTCAGTCTCCCTCGAACCCAATGGTTGCCTCCTCTTTGCACTCTCCTACTGGTCCTAATAGCTTGCCCTTTGCACTCCCTGATATCTCGCCCTTTGCATTCCCTAGTTGCCTCCTCTTTACACCCCCTATTGCTTCCCCCTTGAAATCTCTAGTTCCTCGCCCTTTACTCTCCCTAGTTGCTCGCGCTTTGTACTCCCTGGCTGCTTGCCCTTTTCACCCCTTAGTTGCTTCCCCTTTGCACTACCTGGTTTCTCGCCCTTTGCACTCCCTAGTTGCCTACTCCTTGCACTTCGTAGTTACCTCCTCTTTACACTCCCCAGTTGCTTCCCCTTTGCACTTCCTGGTTGCTCACCCCTTACACTCCCTAGCTGGCTCCTGCTCTTTCCACTCCCTAGTTGATTGCCCTTTGTGCTCCTTGGTTGCTTTCCCTTTGTGCTCCTTGGTTGCTCTCCCTTTGCATTCCCTAGCGGCTTCCCCTTTGCAACTAGTGTTGAATTTTTTGCGCCATTGGTTTGAAAGTGCTTTCCCGGGTTCATAACTTAAAAAAAAAATACGACAACTAACCATTAAGCTCCAAAAAAACACGTGGATGAAATGGTTTCAGGTGCAGAGTGCAGGGAGCGCAGACTCGTACCCAGTCGCCACTTTTTCATTCTCGCAAAGGAATATGGAAAGGAAATTTGAAGCGCGAAAAGGCGCTTGGGAATATATAACAAAGGGTTTCCCAACCATTCCACTTAAATTAACTACGGTTGCGCAGATGTCGTTGAAGTGTTATAATAATGAGACTTTTGTTTCTTCAGTCGGTCAGGAACACAGGCAATTCGAAACAAAAGAACTCTTGGGTCCACCTTAAGTAAAGGGGTAGGCCCCAGGTCATTTTGGTTACTAGTTTAGGTGCTATCACCATTGCTTTACAGCTGAGCTAAATGAGACTTGTGGGAGCTAAGGCCATTAAACTTATAGGTTCGTTGCCAAAGGTACTGAGCAAAAATATTCCCCCTCTCTCTACAGGCCGGAAAATTTGTGTCAAAATCATCGTCTGTTTTATTCATTGCTAATGATGCACACCATGCAGGGATGTGCGCGCGGGAACACCACGCCAGGGTTTTTGCCCTGAAAAACCGATTTTGAGCAGAAAACGATTGTGTTCCATTGCTATTTACACTTTCTTAGGTACCTGTATTCAGCGTTTAAATTCTTTCCACCCCGCCATGTTTTAACGCTACTTGTTACAGTAACTTTAAATGTTCAAAAATTGTCACAAATTTGACAGTTTTGCTATTGTTAAAAAAGCACCCAGCTGCCATTGCCATATATTTTTGACTGATAAGATATTTTTCACCCTTTAAAAAGGAGACCGCTCTTAGTGATCTTCGAAAGTTTACTAATTGAAGTATTTTTGGGGGGGCTTCAAATTCTTATTTTTGTCTCCCTCGTGGTAGAGCTGAATGGTCACGATGATGTGGAGGGTCATGATAACAAGGCCCTGTTTGGAGCTTAAAAACACGCAGCGAAATATCGAGTCTCGTTTGCGACGGAGTCCTTCTTTCCTTCTTGCTCGTTTTGCTTTTTTACTTTCCGTGACCATTTTGTTTCTTTTCACTGTGTTCTTTTTGTTCAGCGAGAAAACAGCCTTATATTAAAAAACGTTAAAGATTCAAACCGTAAAAAAATCGAGGTAAACAAATCGATAAAGTTTGTGGCGGAATGACGATACCCTGAGTCTCTTCACCTCTGGATCCTTAAAAAATCCCAGATACGCCAGTCAAAAAGCCTTCAGGGACACGGTCAAGAGCAATAATGTCTAATTTAGCAAAACAAGGTAATCAACACAACTGACTTGGTTCATAAGCAAATTGGACGTCAAATTAGCCTTTTCCAGGCGTTTAGATAGTGGGGAGCAAGTTAAATCGTACGTGGCGAGCGCAAAAGAAACACGAAGGGAAGAAAACGAACCCTATTTTTTCTCGTCAATTTTTCGCCCGCGCCCAAATTTTCTGCCCGCTCCCCACTATCTGAACGCCTGGATCAGGCTAACCTCAAATTAGCAACGAGTATGGGATTTATTCGGTCTAGTTTTTAGGACATCCGACTCGGTTTCCGTATTTTTTCACTTTTATAGAAAACACACCAAACGTTTAATGTTCTCGGTTATCAATCAGGAAACGGTCAACACATGTTATGTAGTCTTGTATCACCGTAAACATGTGTAAAGTCTGTAAATGAAGAATGTATAACAGTTTTATTATTCAGGAGTTATTCGGTTAGGAAAAGTGTTATTGATTAGTTTCATATGTGAAGTTGTTGACTCTGTTGAAAGTATAAATCAATGTCAGGGCAAATATCCTAACTAAGCCGACAAATAAAATATTTCAGAAAGATACATGTAATGTACAAACGTTCACATTTTCAGTACAGGTTACAGCCTCTAATATGACGCGTGTGGTATGTTTTACAATCCAACTTTTCTTTAATCATGAACTTGCCATTTCTTTCAGAAGTTTTTCTTCAATTTTCTCTCCCACCAAATTATCCAATGTTCATGGTGTTACCCGACTTCCATATTAGTGTGTTGTGCTAAACTAGCGACATCATTTAAACAAACATAATCCATTTCAACTGCGTCGAGGTAAAGATGTTGTACTGCATTTAAGTGATTTCAGCGTTCCGAAATCTTTCCGCCATTTTGGCTCTGCTTTTTAGTTAAGGTGTGCCAAAATTGACACAAATTTGACAATTTTGCTATTGTTTAAAAAAGAACCCAGCTGCTATTTCCATAAATTCTCCACTGATAAGATATTTTTCACTCTTTACTGAAAAGGGGACCGTTCTTGACCATTCTTAGTGATATGACCAAGTCTCAATTACAGTATATTGTGAATGGCTCTGAATACTCATTTTGATCTCTCTCTGGGTATAGTTGAATAGTCACAATGACATAAACTTTATGCCGCGTTTCGGAGCTGTCAAAACAATCCCTGATTGCGCTTATTTGCCTAAAGAAGTCTGTTTTTTCATCAACAACTGATTATACACTGTCTGCAGTGGTTAAAAGTCGGCACCTTTAGCTAACAAATGCATGCAGGCATATTTTTCTGTTGGATGTCGCTTACACGAAAAAAAATGAAGTTAAATTTGCGCAATACATTAATGTTCGATTTCTGTTTGTTAACTTAGTGTTTACACGTTAGTCGCTTATATGCTACATCTTGATCTGTTCAACCACAAATGAATAAGTTTCGCAATCTTGATAGACAACTAAAAAACTCAAATCGCTTGTCGAAATTACTCAAATGTCAATTTTAAGCAAGAACTGACTCAGAACTTCTAGAAATGCAATTTGTTGATATTTCAGTTGAAAATTACGGACGTTTTCGCCCCGAAATTTGACATCTTTAAACTAAGTGAAGGTGTTTTGATCATTTTAGATTCATACTCAAGGAACAATTACCCGAAAAATAAACAATAATTGGGTTTTGGTATTGTCTTCGCAAGGTCTCCAGCATTTGCTTATAACACACACAGAAGATAATTGTTCAAGATAAAAAATCTTTGCGTTCTTATTTTCAGGCGACCACTATTTTAATTTTTCCTGAAGTTTAAATAGACTGATATTTCTCCGGTATACGATAGATATTTTTGAACCTAAATTTCAGTCTAAGCAATTTGCATTGTATCTGCTAAATATTATGAATTTTACCTATTAACATTTAATTTATACTGGTACAATACTGGTTTAAAAAGTGATCTTTTCTGTCTTTTTAATATTATGACGATTCACAGCTTGACACTAAAAATCTCGCATATGAAGATTTTGATCACCCCTAAGCATGCACAAGGGCGTTGAACTTTCCTCACAACTTCACCAAAAAACAAAATACCTAAGGGAAAAATTACAAAGCAGTCAATTTATCCTTTGAAAAGAAACTGTTAATTTAAATTTTTTCAATTTTTCTTTAGCTGGCCTTAAGTCAAATTTTGTTTATAATTGTCACTTCCCACCAAGATTATCAGTTTTGCTAAGACACCCCGGAGTTAACGACATTTTGGTCACGATTTAGCCGGCCCCTCGAAAAAAACTGATAGCCGCAAAATTAGCATTAAATGAAGAAAACGCTAAAAGGAAATTCTCTCCGGAGTTTTCGTTATTCTTTAGTCCACAGATAAGCAAAAAAAGTTATCATTGGTAAATAAATTGTATATTTTGCTCTTCTTTGAAGCCACTTCTCAAAAGCATCAAGTCAGAGAGCTTTGACCCGTGCCTATTGCGTCACGTGGTCCAAACCAGCCAATAAGCGCACAGTTTATGCCCGCCTCGGCAACGTCACTTGCTGCCATCTTATTTTTCCGATTTCCTTTGAACGAAAAACGATTAGCGGCTCGCTTTTCCTTGAGTTTTGCTCGTTATTTAGGTCCGATGTTTAGGAAGTCATGCTCCTAGCATGACTGCTTCGAATCCCATGCTTCATGGCTCAGACTTGGACGAATGCTGCTCGAATGTGTTTGCACTGGTAAGCCATAATTCTTCGTTCGATTTATGAGGGTTCTATTTTTGCCTGTCACATGTTACAGTGTTTTGTGAGGTTGTAAGTCGCTCTAAAGGCGTGTGAATATTTATTTGCCAATTACTAGGAAGATGCCTTGTTGCTTTAGTGCAATTAGATGATCTAGAGTTAGGAATCTGAGGTTAACGTAACGGAAAAAAAACAATTCGCGGGTGTGTTGTAGAGTTAGTTGCATGTCGTAATGAACATGTCCTCTATTTAACAAACGGTGGAATTAATTCATTCTAAATATTCTCCTTAATTGCCTGCAGTACGTTGAATTCCCTGCCTTGTGAGTGTTGCATCGGAAATGATGAACCCTGCTTGGCTTAAAGCAAAAAATGTGCACCATTTCCAAGCTGACAAATACTCAGGAAGCCGTATACACGGCCCATTCGAACTTGAATTAGTTCGGTGGTAGTGGTTCTGAAGAGTAACAAGATGATTTTACAAACACAACATGCTCTGGCGCTTTGCATTCGTTTACACGAATAATTCAGGGATTCCTTTTGTTTGTCTTCAAAGGGGAATCGTTTCTGTTAGGAAGCGCTTCGTCGTGTGTATACAAAACGAGGCAAGCGATTATCTCTTGCCGTCCGCTCGTCTGCTGACATATTTTTCGCGACAATACGTGCATGCTTGTGCGGATTTGTTTCCCCAAGTCGTAAATAAATCTCTAATGTGTATGTAGTTTGCTCGAAGCTTAAAAAGTGTACTTTGCTTTTAATGCCATTTTTATAGGTGGATTGACGGATTTCTTTAATTCCCAACCGAAATATCCAATGCTTATATGTATTTTACCTGCAAAGCTTAGCCGTCGGGCAATATTTTTCCGTAAGAGGGCCGATTTTAAGTATTGTATTTAATTTCGTCGCATGGATAGCAATTGTGCCAGAAGATTGATTTTACTATACCGTGGCGATAAGTATCATAGTATCTATTTTTCATCAAGGTTAAAATCAGCCAGAAAATACCAGTGCACTGGGCTATTTTCATCAGTAACATATTTGTTGATTGCGTTTTGCCGTCCGCGGTGTCAAATTTGGAACCCTCTAACTCTTCAACGAGCAAAACCGACACTCTGAATAATTAATCAGATGACTGGGTTTTTATTGAGAAAGAATTGATCTTTGCTTGTTTACTCCTTAGTAAATGTACCATGTAAGCAAAGCAACTACCTCAACGACACTTCCAATTTGATTATCCGACTATTTTCGCTCATCGCCTAATTCGAGGATGAAACATTTGTCACGGTTTTCCTCTTGTGCGTTAATTAATTTTTATGCAAGGTGTACTGTAGAATGATAATTATGTGTAACTACAAAGGCGCAGTGTAGCCGGAAATTTTACCCTTTTTATCGTGTCTGAAGGGATTAGATGTTTGAAGCAACTTTCTTCATCACGAAGGCTGTTGTTATTTTCAAAGTGCAATGAACAACGTCGTTGACACCAACTAATTGTCAAGGGATAGTAAGTTGTAAGGCTAACCCCTGAACCCGTGGTTTTGTTTAAGAGTTAGGGTTATGACTGAAATTTATTTGTTCAAGAGTGTTCAGGCGGCCTGTTCTAATTCCTTTCTAATGATTATCACAGTAACTTGTATCAAGTGATTGTATTTTTTTGGACAAAGAAAAAAGCTTCTAACATGGCTGACATGGAGTGTTATATATTACGTATTTGAGTATTAACGTTAGTTCGAGCTTGCATGTCAAATAATCTCTTAAATTTGTCACCATATTATAGTTACCATATACCAAAGGTGTACTTGGTAGAAAATATTTCATTTTCTGGTGTAAGGAAATTAATTCACTAGACAAACATGTTTAAAATACTATTGCCCAAAAATATATATTTTTTTACAGGTTGTAATATTTCTTATAACATTGGTTTATCTTTGTACGTGATGATAAGTGTGTTTTTGTCATTTAGAATCTGGCAGATTTATGATCAAGAGATTTTTGAGGGTTTCACTTGTTTTAACTTCCTCAAACTGACTTGTTAGGACCGTAAATATTTCAGAGGGAAATTCAATGTCTTTCAGTTTTCCTACATCATTGTTGTTCTCGATGTATAGGGTATACTTTCTAATAATTTCTTGACAAAGCTACACACAAGCTGAAGCAGAGAAAGTTCATTCTATTGAACACAAATTTTTTGGTAGATCCCATGAAAGCGTTTTATATTGTGTGATTATTTTTATCTGATTTCATGCAGTGCATGTCAAAGTTTAAGTCCAAGAATAAATCCATTTAAGCCACTGGCCAACTATGATGCATCTGTCTTATTCACTGAATTTATATGTCATGGAACTTGCCTTGGGCAATCGTGAGAGTGGCAAGGCTTGACCAGTTTTTTTACTCTGTTGGAAGACAAAACAAAACATTAAAGTGATTTTGTTAAGAAGCCTTTTTTAAGTTGCAAGATTTCTAAAATTTAAAATCAAAATGAGAAATTATACTGTTTAATATGCTGAAAATTATCCTTCCTTATGAAGGTACTGCTAAAGAGGTGTCCTTTGAATAATCTCACCATGGGATTTGTCTACAAACTCTGCAAGTTTCAAGTACATATCTTTATAATTGACTCCAGGAGTTGAAAGGTTAATTAAAGCATCCATCCATATAGTGCTATACAATTGTGTTTGACTAGTAAGCTAGAAAACAGCAGAATAAGTTTAAAAAAATTGTTGTTGACCCCAGGATGTTGTGCTTGTTGCATTGTTCAAATTCATGCAGTGTCTATTTTTACTCTCATTCTGACAATGCTTTTACAAACTTTCAGTCCTGAGTTTTCAGTTGTTTTGTCATATTGGGCAATGCAGTAATCGCTGTTATCTACTACAGAAATTGGTCTGTCAAAATCTAAAGACTTAGACACAAGGTTATATCTTTAGTAGGCCAATTAATCTTGGCCTTGGATACATACCTGTGATATTATGCGGTTGTGTGTGGGTGTTACAGTGCTGTCAAACTTGTCTTCCTGTTTAGATGTTCCATCCTTGTCTCTTATTTTTACGTTTTAGTTTAACTAGGCTGCAAAGTGGTGTGTAATTACAGTGTAAGGAGTCAGTGACTTTGTGGTGTTCTCTTTTGCAAATTAAATTGTGTGCTTTGCTAAAAGGTTATCTAAACAGGACAATAGATTGGCATACAGTGTATTTGCAGAAGACCATTTGGTATTATCAGCTTAACATTACCTTAAAATCCTGTCATGCTGTTAATGGAATTAAACCTTTACTCTTTAATACACAGTGTTGAAATGTTAATTTCTTGTCTCCTTGGCTGTTTATATAGCATGTAGTTAGTAGAATGTGCTTATCTAAAGACATTAATTGATCAAATCTTTCATTCTCTTTATGCCATGTATGGTAAAGCATTGATGTTAAAAGTATAAATTTTGTATGGATCTCTACTTAAAGAGAGCTTACCTGTAATGTTATATCCAGTTTTTCACCAATGTTTATTGATGTGTGCAGAAACATAACAAAGATTTAAGTCCTAAGTCATGTTTCATCATGTGAATTGTCTCATTTCTGGAAATAGCTACTAATTACGCATAAATATATGCCATTGTAAATGTTTTTATCGTATAGATGTTTGTCGGGTGTTTAACATTTTGCTAAAAATACCTTTAATGTAGCCTGGTAAATATGTCAACCACTTCCTGTATTTTATTGGGAATTTGTTATTCATCTCTTATTTTTTATTTGCTCAGGTTGATGTGAAAATATAGTTTGGAAACAAATGTTTTGTTTATTCTTTGAGTAGGTTTCTTGTTGGAATATTTCCCTTTTTTGGGGTATTGTGTTTGGTCTGGATTAGTAAGCGTGTCAAGTCACTCTCATCTGAAGACGTCTTTGTCTTTTTTATACATGTAAATTATTGGTTTGTTTATTTAATCAGGGTTCTCCAGCAAGTTTAAAGTAGAAGGAGAAAAAGCATATGATAGCCTGCAAGCAAGCTCTCTGAGGCACTACCTCCCTTTTCCCTCTCCGCCACAGCACCCCAGAGAGCTTGCTAGCAGGCTAACATAGATTGGTGGCAAAACCAGAACATACATATATTTCATGCTATGTAGCCACATGTGGAAGTAGTTACAGATTCCAGAGCCTCCTTTGGAAAACTTTTAATTTGGGGGATCCTGACTGGTGTGTTCCAGCACTTGGCCAACTAGGGAAAGAGTTTTAGCCATGAGAATGGAGCTTCTCTATGGGTAGCTGTGGACATTTTTTTTTTGTCCTGCATTTTCCATCATATCTTCAGTTCTTAATGAAATTGTGATGCATTCAGAATTGTTTAACGCAAAATGCTACTAGTGAACTTGATGCTGACAAATGAGAAAATAAAAAAGTAAAAGGCTGAAACTCTGAATGTGTAGTACACTTTTTGGCAGATTTCTTTGCCTTCATGGCACAACTATTACTAACAATGTAAAACTTGATCGGAATGCAATGTGATGGCCATTTTTTGAGATCATTGTTTCCTCCATAGCAGTGGCAGTGACTTCAGTTTCATTGGAAATTACCCATAGAGAGTCTCACAGGGTTCGCACAGGTCATGAAAAACCTAGGAAGTCATGGAATTTAAGAATTTCATTTTCAAAGTCCTGGAAAGTCATGGAATGTAATTGCCGTTCCTTCAAGGTCACAGAAAATAAAATTTTTGTTTGGTAGACTGTAGTTACTGCAGATGACAAAGCAGGGACAATGTAAGATAGAGATCAAGGATTAATTAAACAGGGTGAAATGCCCCCATATTGGTACAAAAGAACATTCTGTGTAAAGTATCAGACAAGGAACTATATTAACTTTTGCAATGGTAGGCTTTGGGGGATGGAATGTCTGTTAAATGTTCATGGTGTACACTCTGGACATTGTGCTGTTCTTTAGTGTACATTTAGTAGAACTTCGATAACTCAATCTCAGGTAACTTGAATTTCCTGCTAACTAAAACTAATATTCTTTTCCCTTGATCAAAAATTCACTGAAATTTGCTGTGATACCTTGAATTCTACACGTAGTTCTTGCGACTCTACTTGGTTGCATCCTATTAGCTCTTCTTGTACAAGGTTAAAAACACTACAACTTGCACTGGTCAGTACTAAAGCAGTTTGATTTTAATTGGTGCAATGAACAGACACATTTTATCATAAAAAAATGCCTGATCGTGTTACTGTTTCCAATGAAATACCGTAAAATTCTGAAAATATTCCCAGGGCTTATATTTTTCAAAGGCCCTTTTTGAAGGGCTTATATTCGGAGGGGCTTATCTACGCAGGGAAGTTTGTATTTCAAAATCAATTGGGCTAGCCTTATACTTGGAAGTAAATTTACCGTTTTTGCTTTGTTTTACTTTGTATTTGAGGGCCATTTTCCAAGTGCAAGCCCTCAGGGGACTTATATTTGGAGGGGCGATTGAACAGAGGGTTTTTTTGCGTTACCAGTTTGGGGGGCCTATATTTGGAGGGGCTTATACAATGTACATGGACGGGCTTATTTTCGGAATTTTAAAGTATGTTAAATTTGCACTGCACCATACACTGAAGAGCTGAAAAATCAGTAACTATCGATAATTTTTAATGTGCAAAAATTGAAATTGACCCTGTTAATTTGAACCCTTGCTAACTCAAATTGTTTTTCATTTTCCTTCAAAGTTCAAGTTAGTGGGGTTGAACTCTACTTATTTGTGTTAAAAATTGAAAAGAGGTTGATTGCTTATTTATGGGTGGGATTTTGTGCTGTGGGGAATTTAGTTATAGCTCCAGGCTAGAGGCAAAATTGCAATTGAAGTTTGTTTTGTTAGTGGATGAAATTTAAAAATTTAAACTTTTCAAGTAGCATTTAACAAGCTTTTGTGTCTTTTATTGCTTCTATCTCATCATGTTGCCCAATAAATTTTGATGTTTCTATAATTATTTAACATTTAACACAGTCAATTTTCTTAAAGAAAACCCAAACTTCACATTTGCAAATGATTTTTGTCTGGTCATGAAGCAGGTGCATTTTATTGTGTCAACAAAAGTAAAATGAGTAGGCAACTGACTCTTTAATTGAACACAGACTTCAAAAAGAAATTGAAAATGCTGTGGATAACTTCATTTGGTTTTCTTTATTGGTGAATTGTTATTTTTGTAGGGTAAACTGTTTACAGTAATGTTTATTTTTTATTATTTGCTCTCAATGTGCCTTGACTTCACAATGCAAGACTGATTAAGTATGGTTCTTTCTTGGCCCTTAATTGGCTTTGACATTTGGTCAGCAAGTCTGTTTGCTGCTTTCTTTGTTTTAGAGGTCATCAGTAAATCATCTATCTTGTTCATATCGTGACGTATGTGTGTGATCACGTCCTATAACATTAATGTTTTCATTTTCCCACAGTAATACTGTAAATGAAAATTTAAGGCCTAAAGATTTTAGAACCGACATTCTAACTTTTCTGTTTGAGGACAAAAGATCCTACATTGTGATCATGCGAATGTAACTTCTTCAGTGGTACTTTTGCCTTGTACCATTTTTTTCAGTTTTTTTTTTTACGAAATGAATTTGGGGATTTTTCTGGCGTAACAATAACATTTTTCGCTATAGTTTGAGCTTTTGGGAAATCAGGCATTATTCACATGACCTGTGCTAAGCCATAAGATGATATTGAGACCTAAGTGACGTCTTAAAAAAATCGCAATAAAACGTCAACACCAAAGAGAAAACATTTTGCTTGACTTGTGCTATAATGGAGCATGTTGTGAATAGTATGCATACCTGCTTTTATTCAGTCAGTACCTCTGGAGAGTTATCCTTAATACCTAATATAACTTGTGAAGCCACTACATTATCTTCAACGCTTTAAGTGACCAACATCACTTTTCTCCTAATAAAAGTGATAAATAACCAAGAGAAAAGGTTTTAAGAATAAATAACATGATCACGTAAGGGTGCGGATCTTTTATCAAATTTACTCAACCAATTCGTTAACAGGTATATGAGATCAGTCTGCAGAATTTGTACATAACAGTTGGGGCTAAAGGAGAATATTTTATTATAGTGATGATAATTGTTTAAGCATGTTCAATGTATGAGGTCTTGTTAAACTAACACTGAATGTGAATGTCGTTGTGTATGGTCATATCAAGTAATTACCCTAGCTAAATCTTAACATGAAGTTTAAAAAAGTACACATACTTAGACACCTTTTTGTGGCTAAAGTAATACCCCCTCCATTACTATCCATCTTCTCAGCTGTCATTAACTGCCAGTTGTAACTATATTGTGCGTGTTTGGGGGGTTAAAACATTAATTATATTTCCCAGATGTTTTTGTTGTACATCCACTTCCTTCCTATTTATTTTTATATACATGTAGCTTGGTTTGGTTTTGGCTTATTATTTTACTCATCTTACTACAGTGTATGCATTAAATTGGATTTTTCTTTGTTCATTGAATTTATCACTGATATTTTAAAATCTTGTCATACCTTCCTAGGTGCATGAATTTGATATTGATTTAGTACTGGTCAGGGTAATAGATCAAGCAATCACAAAAATATGCACAATTAGATTATCTTTGTTGAATATACAAAGTGGTTGAAGAGCAAACATGCCTGAATACATGTTTTATGATAAATTGTGTAATATTAAAATGCCCTTGATTTAGAGATAACATAAATTATTGAATTAAAAATCTCATTCTCTTACAGCTAATGAATATGTTCACAAATTTCATGATGACAATAATATTGGCTACATTGTAGTGGGCCCGACTTTGAAAAAAAATTTGTCTGCAGCAGCATGTTCCATTGTGATATCTGAGATGATTATTACATTTCCACCCTGTAAATTTTAACTGTTACTTTTATTTCACTTACATTTTTCCAAATTTCAATCTTTCTTGACTATTATTTTGAGTAATCTTTTTTATATGCAGTGTGTTTCCATATCAACTTGTCTCTACATATTATACTTGTTGTTAACCTAGTTATATGTTATATTGTTATGTTTTGTATCTTGGCCTCAAAAATGCTTTTTTTACTTAAATCTGATCCCATAAGCAGTAAAACCACAGTTTAAAAACTATTTTTAGTATTTATCAAAGTAAGCTTAGTATGGGTTGTGATTTAATAATAAAATGTATGTAATTAGAAGAAACTGTCTGTATTCGTGACAGAGTTTTGAGAGAACATTATTTGAGTTGAAGTGTAAAAAAGTTCTTTGACTATAAGGGGTACTCTGTTTGGTAGATATTAATAAGCAAATATTTTAAAGTATAAGAACTCTTATCAATAATTTTGTATGAAGGTGCGTCAAAAGAAAAAAAATAGTAAAATAAATAAAATAAAATAAACACTAATTTTCATCTTGGACCCAATAGATCCAAAATCAAACAGTGTTAGGGGTTGAGATCTACCGCCTGCAGGATGTATGGTACTTTGAAACACTGTCAGGCCTGGATGGATGATTATGAGACCCATGAGGTGTCATCACATGACTGCAAGAGTTTATCAAAACATTTCAAGCTACACAAACTCTTTTTGCTCTTAAAACCGAATTGTTTTGACTTTTGTTGTATCTTAATGTGTATATGAGCCGAAACCAATTGTGGAATTGCACGCATTTTAGGCATCCTATTGATGAACAGTTGCGACACGTAGATATATTTTTTAGCAACTACTATAATTTGCAGTCTGTCTACTTTGAATATTTATTATCATAATGGGGCCCTCTTGGGGTGGGGGGGTGGGAGGTTGTGGCAGGTACATTTGTTCCTGGTCTGAATTTCAGATATGGTCATTTCACATTTTGAGGAGTATGGCCATGTCCCTGTTAATATTTAACTCATACTAACAGGGCCTCCATAATATGGTGCAACTGTAAAAGTTGTCAATACAGTTTGACAGATTCCGTGTGCTGAAACAGCATTTTTTTTTTACTGACAGACTGATTTATGTGGCCTGAAGTGGCGGAAGTACATATACAATGTTGCATGCAGAGCCACCTTTGAAGAAGACCCTGTACTGAAGTCATTCTCATTGGCCCTTGGTCATGACATCTTGTGTGCATGGCGAAGAAGTCCTTCGACAGGTTGTCAGTCAAGCAGTGATCCTAACAGTATCAGCAGTGCAAAAGAGTTGTGGGTGTTCTGGTTTGGTGATGACCCTAATCTTCAAGGGATTGTTTCAGGAGAACTGAAAGGTGAATTTTTTATTTATACCAAAGTTGGCCCAGACTCTATGGACGTTCATTGGACTTTGATTTTTATTAGAGAGGGAATGAAAATAAACAAAATATGTTCTAAATTCCATTTTTTGAAAAAAAAATGAAATAAAAATGACTTTCCTTGTGTTACTGTCTGTCTGCTTGTCAAGCCATTTGGAAGCTGTTTTAATGCGTGTAATGATTTTGAGTTGTACTAACATTGAGAAACTCAAAATCTAAAACTTGATAGAGCAGCTTCCAAATGGCTCTAGAGGCGAACAGACAGTAAAACACACAACACAAACCGGTCTGTCATTTCTATTTGTTTTTTTTTTAATAGTTCTAAGTTAGAATGTATTTTTTTTATTTTCCTACATTCTCTTATAAAATTCAAAGTCCAACAAACTCCCGTAGAGTCTGTGCCGCCCATGTATACAAATCAACCACACAACAACAAGAGGTTCTTGGCATGGAGAAGTGGCTGCAGTTTTCTCTTCCTTACCCCTCTCTACGAGAGGCAAGACTAACATTTTAAGTGTCATTTTTTTTTTTTTACAGAATCATGCCATGGGTGCTGGGAAGATGGCTTGCCACATGAGCCAAGATCTCTGCTATTCAAAGCCTTACATAACTTATTAGAAAGGTAAATGTTTCATAATCTGCCACAAAACGGTAGTATACAATTCATTGTTGCTGCTAAAATTTGAAGTAAATGACCACAGAGTGCACTGAAAAACACAAGGCTGGTTACCATTGAATTGCGGAGAAAAAGTTCAGCAGCCTTGAGCCTTTGAGTTATTTGTTTGATGCTTCAAAAGTAACCTGTATTCTGTAGTGAAATTGTGTTAGTGAAGTAAGTACAGCTCAATGTGTGAAAACTTTTTAGGTGTTTGCTGTCAAGAAAGTTTGTTCGCCTGGGAAAGTGGTTTACAAAGCCATGTGAAAGCAGTTCAGTGGAAAATTTCAGGTGAGGTGATCCTTTTTTGAAAAATTTTAGGCCTTTTCCACCTCGCTATAAATTCTTTTGCTCTAGCTTAACTGTATGATTTGTTCTATTCTGTGAAAGAATATTTCTAACCTCTCTATTACATGTGAGGTAATTTGGGGTTTATAACACGAGAAGAGCAGTCCCAACTACAAGTGCAGAACAACCAACCCTTTTTGAAATCTTTAAGTCCCTCATAATTTCTTTGGTACTAATAAGGTTTAAAAAATTAATTTTAATTTTTGGTGATCATCTCTTTAATCTTCATTATTTAACTTTCTGTTTGGGCGTAAGTTGTCCATAAAACAAGCCAGATGAGGTGTAAGAATGCCTGTAAATGGCATACCCTTGCAGTAATAAAATTTCTTCTCTAAGGCAGATAGCAATGTCGGTGACCCCTTTTCATGATGTGATGTTATACATGTGTAGGTGTAATGACTTAACAATATTTTCTTTTTTCCTCTCCAGCAGTCAGTTATCTTTTTCATTTTCATTTTTTGTCCATGGCGAGAGTTCTGTTTGTACTGCCGTTGAAATCCAGCAGCAGCAACAAGTACGTCATCTTAGACTAGAAGATGTAGCTGTTGCTGCAACCAAGCAAGAAGGACTTCCAGGTAATGTAATCTGGTAAAATCTGAGCTGCTTCAGTTGCGGATTTAAACTCTGCACTGTGCTGCACTGCTTGGCTTACAAGTTACCTTGTTGAAGCATGTATACACGAGATAAATACAAATAATAATATGAGGGTACCATAAATGATCTATTAGAAGCCTGTGGTATTTATTTGATTTTAGGGGTCCAAGAGGGGTGGTTGTTTAACCCTCTGAACCCTGAGATGAAAATTTGAATTCCCATTTGTTGCCCCCGGTCCAGTCATTTCCTACACAAGTACTGGGGAGAAGTTGATAAAATAACAAGCAAATTCATCTTGTGTGATCACGTCTGTGATTGAAAGCATTGATGTTACAAGGAAAAATTTGTTCCTGATCACTCTTATGGCAATAATAAATTAATAAATAAATAATAAATTAATAAATTAATTAATTACTTTAATAAATTACTATTATATTAATAAATTAATAAATTAATTAATTAATGGAGGCCTTTAAAAGAGAAGTACTATTGTCTTGAGGCTTGTTAGAAGGACTTTCCTTTTGTGCCATTTATTTAATTTTGGCCTTTTAGCTAAATGAAATTTGGGATTGGCTTAAATTTTGACTTTGGCAATTACTTTCAGTATTGTTAGGTCCTTATGGACTGTCTGGATTTCTCACTGGTCAAACAAGCCTCTTGGATGATGCAGTTTCAGTAAAACTTATTGAGGAATGGAAGAAATTTTATCCCATTGACTTCAGTAATGATTGGAGTGAGATGACAAACCAGTGTTTTGATAAGGGGGTCCCTGCCGCTGTTATGGTTGTTGTAGGGGAGACTCAGATGTGGTATCCATCCACTTATGTTGTGATACCATGCACAGAGAATGAAAGAACTGGAGGTGAGTTTAGTTTGACTTACCATTGTTAATCCCTTTATCTCTTTCATTTCTTATAGTTTTTAGTGGCCCCAAGGAAAAAATCACCAAAAAGATAAAATTTAATATTCATTTTGAAAAATCCTAAGAAAAAAATGTGCGGCCCGGTCAAAAAGGTTTCATTTAAATGGCAAATGAATATCATAAGATTCCATCCACAGATGTAAAGGTTAGAGTAACTAATAATCTCCTCATAATGTGGTCTAGGAGTGAAAGGGTTAAAGTCAAGACGATAGTAATCTCTAATCTGATTGCTAGCATTATGTGCCATAACTTGTTAGTAAGGGTGTCTGAGTTATTGGGGGTGACAATAGGAGCCCGCAATCCTAATCTCAAGGTTGTTATTACGCATGTGCCGCATGTATGATGTAGCGGGCATTTGTTTGGATCTCCTTTAAGAATGAATGGAATGCACAGAATGCAATATGATCACTCGTAATCTGATCAAGCATGTTTTGACTATCTGTCACGTGAAACTTACATGTACGTAAAGCACATCAATGGAGCTAAATCGTTTTGACCTTCGATTGTTGTTGTTGTTGTCACTCCGTAACCTTTGGTTATTAATACTCGTAAGTAATACTAACAAAAATAAACTAGGTTGCCATGGCACAGCTCCTTTAACCCCTGAAGTCCCAAGAGTGACCAATATTAATTTTCTCTTAACAATATCTTTACATAATCAAGAGTAGGTTATGAGAATTAATAAAATGATCACCATAAAGGGAAATGTGTTGATCTTAAAACAAATTCTTTCAACATAATTCTTCAAGGAATGTATAGATATCTGTGTAGAGAATTTTTTTGTGGATATTGGGGCTTGAAGGGTTCAATAACTGATTTTCTTCTGGATTTTCTGGATTTTGTGGTGTATCAAAACTCAACAAAACTCAATTCATTAATCTTCCACACAATTCATATTAATCTGCGACGCAAGTAATACAGTAAAAACCCGCAACTAAGAACCTACATTTTTAGGAGTTAGCCTAAACAGGTTCTTATATAAATGCTAGTTAGCAGTATTTTAGGCTATTTAGGTTCTTAAAATGGGTTCTTAATCCTGGAGAAAAAGTAGTTAGTATGCTTTGTAAGTCTACATATCTTGCACTCATTTTTCTTTAAAAAACATTTTTACAACAATGGCAATCTGCTTTTTTTGCTTCAAATATGATTCTTGCAATGCAGCTGTAATGTACTAGTATGATTTTAGAAAATATAAAGAACCTGTTTTAAATTTCTTAGGCTAAATAGGTTCTTGTTTATAGGGGATATAAATGACCAATTTTAGGCTAACAGGTTCTTAATTTTTAGGTTCTTAGTTGCGGGTTTTTACTGTAGTTCATGAATTTTGTGTTGTATAACATGTAACCTTCACAGTTATTTCTTTACTACTTGTAACTACTTTCCTCTTCCTAATTCTAGTGTTTAACTTTTTAACCTGTGACCTTTAACCATCTGCAGAAGGGCCTGTTTTGCCCAGAACAGATTCAGCGACCACCTCTGGTCCAACATCACTAACCCCACCAGCATCACCTATTGATTCCAACACTACAGATGTTGTTACAGGTTCAGCAAATTTGCCACCAGCACCCAAGGTTACATTACCTACTGTCACTGACAAGAAGAAGTTGACACACTCATTGGTGCAAGAAGTTTGGCAGGAGATCACTATTACCAAACCTGCAGTGAGGTAAGTAACATGTTATATGTAAAGAAGATCATCACAGTTATAAACACAACTTTTGCAGCTGCTAAAAGAAGCCTGAAAAGGTTCAGGCTTGTTTTGGATTCGCACCCTGACTTTTGCGTTACCATTGCAGTGCTCCAGACACAAAGGTCGAAGGTTTGAATCCCATTACTAGTCAAGCCAGAATTTTTTTCAGTTTGGATTATTTTGGAGTCTTCTTGGATGAAATCTGTAAATGAGAACATACCAGTCATTTCTCTTCTGTGGAAGTGTATATTATACCTTTACTTAGACTATTGCATAATTATTCCTTTTTTTGGAGGAGGTGGCAGGGGGGAGTGGAGGGGGATTGGTTTATTGTAGAGTTGTTTTAAATTGTGCTGCGCAGGTGTGAGGGAATTTTAATTTGATGTTTGTTATTATTGTTTAACTGTAGTTTGTTATTGAGGTCCTGAACTGAGAGCCTTTTTCATTTGTCTTTATGAAGACTAGCATTGATTTTTTTTTGCAGTAAAAGCTCCTCGCAGAACTCAATATCGAGGTTAACTACATTTATAAAGACAGAGAGTTTAAATGATGTGACATCAGTGGGCCAGTGGGATTTTGAGGAGCCATTTAAGCGCACCTCGTGTTCCTGTACATCAAGTAGTAATATTAGCAGGTAAGGCTGACTTAAAAGGGGTTCCAGAGTATTTTCGGCAAAGTAGCAGGGCTCAAAAAAGTTCCATCTGGAAATATGGGACAGGTAACTTTTAAAGCTTTACTTGCCCAATAGACAAAGGTTCAGGGAAGTCATCCTCTAGCAAAATCATTAACTAAGGCAAGCCAAATGTAAGAGCTGCATGCCCAAGGACAAGCTGGAATTCAAGTCTTTTTTTTTAGCCCTATGTAGTGTCAGAAAGAAAGAACTGATAAACATTTAGTTCTATATTAATCATAAACATTAGGAATTAGTGAAAGGATGCATCAAGTTGATGGTGTAAAAGAGAAAATGATTTCCTTTCTTTGCGTGATTCCCGATAGGCCCAAGGCTCCAACGCAAGTGCGTCCATCATTTGGTATAACAAGGCCAATACCGTCGCCGAGTTATCCGATACCTTCACCTCAACAACAACACCAGATATCACAGCAAACGCAGAGCACTGCAAAGTTAAAGAAAGAGAAGAAAAAGCCTCTGGTGCCATTTCACCATCGACCAAGCATCAGTAAGGACAGACCAGAAGCTGTGAAAAGTCACGTGGGAGCTATGACAAAGGGTTTGCCTACCGCAAATTCCCTGACAAGTGTCACTCAAATGCGGCATTCTGATGTTGCTCTTGCTCATAATGCAAAGAATACAACTGGCGCAGTCGCGCACAAGAACAGTACATTGGATACAAAAACCAATGCTAAACCATCACAGCATTCTTCCTCATTGTTGAGAGTGAACTCTTCAAGGTTACCATCATCAACTTGTGAGAAAGTTTCAGAAATGCTGGTCAAATCTGAAGAATCATGTGCAGATAATTTTGTGAGCAATATAGACTCTGATAAAAAGGATGATGATGAGCAAAGTTGTTATGTCCTGCCTGTGGAGAGTGTTTTCAGTGTCCCTGTGCTACCCTCTGACCCTCTTGACTGCAGACCACTTGGTGCACTTGGTGATCAAGTGATCACAGATGAGGTTTTCTCACCTTCTCCTCTGGATGCACCAATGTCTCTGTGGGAAAGGTAAGTTGATCTTGTAACTCTCCATTTGGATCTTCAATTAATGTACTGTTTGTGTTCCCCTTACCTCCCCTTAATTAAGCTGGAATGGACTCATCCCTTAAATATTTGTTAGGATCCTTTTAGAGAGAAAACTTGGGAGGTTGAGTTTCTAATGGTTCCTTCAGAATCAGAATGTGTCCACGTTTTGGCAGCTACTTTAAGTAGGGAAATAATCCAAGACCTGTGGGCAAAACTTGCCTTCTTTAAGAGGATGTGGTTTAGAATACAAGTCCCTAACTTGGCCAGTAGTGAATGAATTCTGGACTTGAGAACGATGAGAACACCTTTCTTGTCTTATCCAAGAGTCAACTGACATTTTGCTGAGTTAACTACATAATTGTAAAAAGTAGCAAAGAGTTACACTTAAATGCACTGCATACAAAAATACTGAAGTCTTGGGATATTTGAGAAGGTCAGTTAAGGCCAATTTAGACGGTACGATTTTTGCTTACGGCTATCGTGCGTGACTAGCATACGTCATGACTTTCGACTATCCACACGTGCTCAATTTACATTACGACACGATCTGTCGTTAAGTCGTGAAGCTCTCTAGTCGCTCACGATAGTCGTAAGCAAATATCGTGCCGTCTAAATCGGCCTTTAGAGATACTCCATTTTTGACACATACTCCATTTCTGTCATTTTACTCAGCCAATAGAAAATAACCGTTCTTATTTTCAAAATTGTAATAGTGGTAAAAGACCCTCTACAGATGCTGGTTTGGAGTCTGTGTTTTCACCTGCGAAGAGAAGACGGGAATCATCATCTGGAAGATCTCGTTCAGATAGTACTGGTACAGGACGGCCCAAGGGACGTAGGAATAGTTCTCAACCTTCACCTGCAACCACGCCGCTTTCTGATCCTTTTACTCCACAGCCTGAGGATCCTGATATTGAAATGATACAGCCAACCATAAAATCACCAACACAGGGAAGGCCTCCTTCAAATAAGCCCCGCCGGAGAAGCAGCAATGCAGCTGCTGATAGTCCGTCTGTTCCTCCACCAGCAGAAGTCAGTAAACCTCCCTCGCGCGTGAAAAATCGACGACCAAGCTCCCGGAAAAAGCAACAGGAGGAAAAGGAAAAGCTGGCTAAAGGAGTGGAGGAAGTAAAGCCACACCCACAAAAGACTGAGAAAGGATTTTATCCCAGTTTCTCATCTTCTGATGATGAACATGAACCAGCTCCACGGTCATCAAATTTAATGACAGAACAAGATCTTGCGGTGACGCTAAATGACCTTGATAAATTGTTTGACAGTGATGAAGAAGAGGATGAGTTGGGGCAATCCAAATCTATGAAGATGGAATTTGCTTGTCATCAGATTAATACCTTTGATTCAATCACAAACATCAACACTCACCACACTATTATGAATTCTGGTGTGGTAGCCCAACAGGATTTGGCACGAATGTTTCCTACTCCTCCCTCTCTAGAGACAGTGTCGCATTCTCCCCCTTGCCCTGTTGGTAATGATTACATTAGTCCTGGGAGTGTCAAGGCCACAGTGCACAGTGCAATGCTGTCTCCGGAGTCACAGCATTTGATGAGCTTTACGGGACTGGATGTGGAACAAGACAAGCAGCATAGTCCAGTGGTTTGTATAGCTGATTGTTCAGGTAGTTCCTGTAGATAACAAGACACATTCTCGCAAACAGAACTTAATCCACCACATGATGGTGGGAGGTCGGTGGGGCTGGGGGTATTACTTTTTCTCTGATGGCTCAGGATGGTTAATTGGAATACCCAAAAAGTACCATGCAGTTTTGTGCTCTGTTTGCACCGTTGTGCTATAAGAAATTCTGTCTCGTGTCTCTCTTCACGTCAATGTGTGCTATAAACTTCAGGTTTCCTTTCCACCCTTTTATAATTTTTCTGCCCATTTACACTGTCTGTGCACGTTTTTACCTTTAAACATCGTTATTGTTTTAATTGTGTGATCAGACACCTTCTCCTTCGTTTTTTATTCAAGCAAGTCCATTAAGTATCTTATGTTCCTTTCATATTCTAGGAACTCGGTCCTGTCTTTGATATTCCAAAATATCAAGACTTCCCTGTTTCCTTCTCCTTTGAAGCTGTGACAGTTTTGCCCAGCCACAAGGCTCTTCCCTCAGCAATAATGCAGTATACACCTAGTTGGCAGGTAGGGTTGTTTTTGGAGCTCACAATCGTTTAATACTTGGGTTTTTGATTGTCTTAATAATAGTTTTCACCCAAATCAACATCATTATTATTATTATTGTTGGTATTATTATGCGCATAAAACAACAATTAAAAAAGCCGGTCTAAACTGGAAAGAAAACCATTTGCTTTCAGAACTTACAATTTTTGTAATTTTTTTCTGTCCTCAGCATTCCTGAATTTATTATGTTTTGTTATTCTAAATGCTGTTGATGTGAACTTTTTAACTGTAACCATATACCGTAAAATTCCTAAAATAAGCCCCGGGGCTTATATTTTTCAAAGGCCCTTTCTGAGCCGGGGCTTATATTCGGAGGCGCTTATCTATGGAGGGAAATTTGCGTTTCAAAATCAATTGGGCTAGCCTTATAGTTGGAAGTAAATTGACCGTTTTTGCTTTGTTTTACTTTGTATTTGAGGGAAATTTTCCAAGTACAAGCCCCCACGCGGGGCGATTTAACGTAGGGTTTTTTGCGTTACCGGCTTGGGGGGCTTATATTTGGAAGGGCTTATACTTGGAGGTGCTTATTTTCGGAATTTTACAGTACTTATTTAATAAGAGTTGTAGCTTTCAAGGCTGTGCTGTTATAGTACAGACCTGGCTTTATTTAAAACAGTAGGTTGAACTACTGGAAATGCCACAGAGACTGATGTGGAAGATTGCAATGAGGCTTTCTGTTCAATTATTTTTTTTGAGATTTTATTTTCATTTCAGAGTCTTAACCTTTTGTTTTGTCTCATTTAAAGCAGACATCACAGAAATCTTGGCCCTTGTCAGTCACTAAAGTAGAGAGGTCAGTAGGTCTTGCAGATGTTTCAAGTTTTGTTCTCCTCCAAGTTTTTCAGTCAATATTACCAGTATTTAACACTAACAGTGACAGCTGTCTAATGTGTTCTCTTTTCTTTTTTTCAGTAGTGCTGATGCTCTTAATGGCGATGTTGCTGTTGCCACTTCTTCTCCGGCAGTGGGGTACACATATAACCATCCTCCAAGTGTAAGCAGTGACGTCAAGCACTTAACATCTGCAGCAATGTCACCTGCTTCTCCAGCTTCTTCAGTGTCGTCGTTCTCTATGCCCTCACAATTTCCAAAAGCTTTTCAAGGAAGCAACTTTGTTGTGAAACCCTTGTTTCAAACTCCTCTTCCAGAAGTAAATTCTTTATCAAGGGTTCTGACTCTATCTGACTCTTGGTTGAACTACTTTAGTGACAAGAGTTATGACAATGTGAGCCTGTGTTCGTGTTGCAAGTCCTCAGAAGGTTCAAGGACTAAGGGAATAATAACAAAAAGCAAAGACTTTGAGAGATGTGTTTGTGGATTTGGTCCTCTGGAGAGAATGAAATTCACTTCTGGAACAGGGTTGTTCCCAGATGACATTTGTGAAGTACCTTCAGTAAATTTAATACCAGCCAAAAAGGATGTAATTGTAAAGCTCGAAGTTAAAGCACAAGAGTGTAAAAAACCTCTTACTGTAAGAAGACAAGGATCAACAACAACTATTTTACCATCGCAAATTCCTTTCAGCTTACTGGAAGAGATTGTGAGTCAGTGTTCATCACCATTTTCTTGTTCAAACCTGAAATTTCAACTAATGTATAAAAGCCAGGGTATTGTGAAGCATGTTTCTGGTATGGCAGCACAAAATAAAGGTAAGTTTCCCCCTATATGTTGAAGTTGATAGTGATAATAATAATAGAGGATATTACATAGCCAAGCGGAGATACAAAATTTCCTTTTGAGTGTTGATTATTATTCCACCAGTGAGCGCAGCAAACTCAGGGTGTTCACTAGGTGCCGGAGACCGGAGAATTCTCCGCTTACTATGCAGAATTCTCCAGCTAACGTTCGGTAGCCTATGACAAAATCTATTCAGACAGGGGGACTCCTTGAAAATATTCTCCTGTAATGTTACACCTTTCTCCTGCTACTAGAAGTCTTTATGAAAACTCTGAAACTAGTGAAATTTTTTTTTTCAACACCAGAAGGGAAATTATGTATCTCCAAGTAACCATGTAATGTCCTATTTATTATACAAACATCAATGATACCAAATAATACCAAACCATTTCACTTTTAAAGTTTTTTGGTGCGATTTATTATGTAGCCTTAGCAAGGGTGATCACATGAGGATAACATGTTATTTATTAAACTCTCCTGTAGAGTAATTTTTCAAACTTGAAAGGAAGTGTTTCTTCCATTGTCCAGACATTGAGAAGTTAAAAAAAAACTACAGCAGAATTTTGACTTGTATAAAGCTTCCAACTTAGAGTTATCCACTTATTTCTCCTTCCATCTTTGGAGAGCCAAAATTAGCTAAGCGGAATGAAATAATTAGTGGTGACCTCATTACAGCCAACAGGCAATATGGTCATGAAGAACGGGAGAGCTCCTTAAGACACTGATTCATACCAAATACCTCCTTGAGTCTGGAACTGGTTTGTTAAGTGATTAGTGGCTTTCCCATTCTTTTGGTAAACATCTTTGCTGTTAAATTTGCCATCCTGGTGAAATATTTTTATTAGATGCACCTCGGTTCCTGAGGATGACCTCCTTCATGATTTTTCAAAATGCTGAAATGTGTATTATTTTTCTTCAAAGAGCAGTGGCAAAGCTTTCTCTTAAAAGTAATATATGTTTTATATTAATTTAACCTTAGATCAATATGCATATGCATTATTTTTTTCCTTAGTGTTCTCCACTCATTTTGTAAAGTTCTAATGAGAAAAAGTTATGTACCAATCAAGCATTATCTTTATCTTTGGTGACCAGTGTTCCTTTAATTATTTTGTCATGATGAGGAAATATTTCATTCTTGACATGATTTTTATACCATCTTTGTTATAGCGCTTGTTCATTACTGACAAGATTTTTTTTCAAAGGCTCAGCAGAGAGTGGCTATCTAAAGAGCATTCCCCCACCTTCAGCAGTCAGTGCTCTCAACTGTCTTCGTCAGCTCATGCAAGATGCCCTTCAAAAATCAACAAGCAGAAAAACATGGGAGCAGCCTCATGGAACAGTTGTACAAGGACCCTTGTCTTGGAAACAACTTCATCATCTGGCAACTAAAGGTCAGTTTTAACACTGAAAATTAGGGCAGTATACAGTCAACTGCCTTTATTGCAGACACTGTAGGGACTTACAGGTAGTGTCCTCGTTAGCTAGAGTCCATAATAGTAGTAGTTTATTTCAGTCAAATGTCTCGGGGATTTAGCTGCTGTTTATTTCATCGAGGTGTCCATTATAGCAGGGTGTTGGCAAGGCCAGAGTTGACTGTATAAAGTTCTCACACACAACTAGCAGCCAAGTCAAGCCAAACCACGCAGCCTATTAACCTTTATTACAACAAAACGTCACAATAGACAAGTACAACAGTGAAAAAGTTCCCTAGATTGCATGCCATGACAAAACAAAAGGTAAAAACTGAACAACTAACTACTGCAATGAAAACTCCTGGGGAACAAAAGCTCACAATGAAGGAGACACTTAAATGTCCTCAAGAGGGAATCACTAAAACTATACCCAGCTTGAGGGGTGGGTGGGGATTAGGCCAGGCAATAACTAACAGCAACAAGAAAACTGTTACCTTACAGCCAACATTGCAACTAGACCACCCCCCCCCCCCCCTGCACACTATTACCCAGACACCCAGTTGTGTGTGAGAAAAACAATTTCTGCTTCTTTTGTTCCTGCATGGCCCTCGATCCTTCCCTCACTTTGCTGGCCACTACTTATCTTTCACCTACTGTACTTGGCTCAACTCTCGTACATTGGATTCTGCACTTACCTACCCTTGTCATTTTCACATTACTTTGATTCTATAATAATTATACCTTGTTCTTTACCCCTCAGGTAATGAGGAAATGCCACGTTCACAGCCTATTCCTTCTGTGACAGTGGGATACAGTGGGGATTGGATGTCACTGTCTCCAATTGCTCTGCAATTTTGGGTAACTAAGAATTAAATTTAAAGCAAGCAGCAATTAAATGTGGTAAATTTGATCAGGCAACTTCGCTATTAGCCTGAAAAACAGCTGACATTTTGCGATGCCAACAGCTAGATTACCTTCAAAATTATGTGTGAGAAATGAGCACAGAAAATTCTGAACTTATGATGCATCACTACCTAGATCTGGATAGTGCTTCTGATTGGTCATGCTGCATGGGGAATTTGCGTCAGCTAATTAATCAAAAGCACTACACAGATCTGGGTAGTGATAGTCATCAGTATGGAATTTTTGCACTCGGGGGGGAAACCAGTGGTGGCCACACGAAATGTTGGCTCTTTTCTCAGGCTGCCTCTTTACTATACATTCTTAAAAAAATGTTATAGGACTCTGTTGTGTTGAAAACATTGAGCATTTGCTATTATTGTTTATGATACACTGATTGTTGTTTCTTTTTATCACAGGAGAAGTTGTTGCTTGAACCTTACTCGTGTCAGCGTGATGTGGCATACATTGTTGTGGCACCAGAAAATGATTTGGTGTTGAATAATGTAAAGATGTTCTTCAAAGAGTTCAGTGCAGTTTATGAGGTATGGATGAGTGAAAATGATTTTAATATTTTGTATACTGTTCGGTCAGCACAAGTGTTTTTCAAACATTGTGCTGACAAACAAGATTAAAATTCTGTTCATTTCCAGTTTATCTGCCAGTGTAGGTGTTGGCTAAAGAAACCTCTCCAGGTAGTCAAGTGTTTTGTAGTACAGTCCACCCCCACTTTATGGACACCCGCTTAATACGGACACTTCATTATTACGGACCGTTTCCCTTGTCCTTGGGGAAAGAAAGCCCTCACATTTTCTCCATTTATTCAACCTGCTTAATATGGACACGCCATTAACACAGCTGCTTTCTGTGGCCCCCTCAGTGTCCGTATTAATGAGGTTTGACTGTAACAAAACTGTCCTTTCTGTCTTTTCTTGTTTGTTTTGTAGACTTGTCGACTTGGACAGCATGTTGCCATCACTAAGGTGCTCAGAGATGGGATTCTGCGAATTGGGCAAAAGTCATTGAAACTTGTAAAAGAACATGTTGATGAGTGGTTCACCAATCAAAGTAATTTTTAATTTTGTTGTTGTTGTTGTTGTTGTGTGTATTAAAAATTCCAGAAAAGTTATATAATAGTAATACAGTAAACACTCTCAAAGATAAGCAGTGCTGGAAATGATTGTAGAATGGTACAGACCAACTCTCTGTGTACATTTGGGCAAGGTGTCCGTCTCACAGAAGGGCAAGAGAGTCAACTGTAATCTAACTAAATGTACATGTGAGCAAACTAACTTTGTGTTTTCATGTATTTTAGGTGGTTCACCTGATGGAGCAAAGCTTAAACTCTACGCTCAAGCTTTTAAACATCATTTGGGTGAGTTAAGGGATAAGGATTGCATGATAATGGGTCTCCAGAAAGTTGTATTCCGACTTCCTGGCCCCAGTTGTTCAAAAGATAAAGAGCACTATCCACTGGATAAATCAATATCCAGTTGATAGCATTATTGGTTTTTCATAATACTTAATATCCATTGGATAACGATTTATCCGTTAGAAGCCCTATCCAGCTTTTGAAAAACTGAGGCATGATGTATGCAACAGTAGTTGCTGCCATCGTGGATGACAAATTACAGATCAAAACTAATGTATCAACCCTTTAAACCCTAAGATCAAAATTTGAATTCTCATTTGTTGCCCCTATTCATTTCCTGCAGAAGTAATGGGGAGAAGTTGATAAAATATCAGGCAAATATATCTTGTGTGATCATGTCTGTAATTCTCATGACCACTCTGTTTTACAAAGTATTGATATTACAAGGAGAAATTTGATGCCGATCACTCTTAGGGCTAAAAGGGTTAAATGGCTGATAATAAATACTGACAGTTTTTAATTGAGTTGATGCAATGAATCGAATATTACTGGTAAAAGGAGGTAGTCACTTTGACCATTTTGATATTGAACGTGTTCACATAACTGATGCTATTTATTTTGTTTAGGACCATACCTTGCTTCCTTGAATCTGGACAAACTAATACTGGACTCAGAAAAGGAAAACAAACCAGAGGATAAGATATCATCCAAGTTTGGGATGGACAGCACAGAAAGACTAGGAGCGGACGGTGGAAACAGAAATGCAGGAATCAGGTTTGTCTATAATTTTTATTTTATTTTCTTCCATTATGTTCTGTCCCTGGCATGAAAGTGCAAAAATGATCAGTTTGAGTTTTTTTCCTTTTAAATAGTGCAGTGAACTAAATTCTTAGTTGGACCCCCCCACCCCCTGCCTGGGTGTGGATTTCATTTAAGAAATGTATGGGGAGTAGCTTTTACCCTCATTCTCATTATGCACTAATCGATTCGTTGGTCCAAAAAAAATCTTGGTGCAAATTCTTAAATCAGGCATTGGCAACATGTGAAAACCCTGCACTTACAAGGAGTCAATTAGGTACAGAGAATTAAGTGAAATTCAGTTGGAACCCTTCAGTCACTAGTCTGATTTAAATCTCTATACTGAAAACATAAGTTCACCATAAATCCCCTATTTTTTTGGATGAGTGGGGAGTTAGTGCCAGGGTATAAATGGATAAAGGAATGGATGAATCACTTATGCATGCATTTCAGTGTTTTTTCTTGTCATTGTTGTTTCAGCTCCTCATGATTTGTTCTTGTCATTTTAGTTTGGGAACTCCAACTTCCGAGCAAGCACCATCGGCATTTGGAGATGATGATAACGAGCACAACAGTAATGAGCCACCAACTGTTGTTGTTTACATTGTCAATCCGTTCACCACTAACTCAAGAGATGAGAATGTCCCTTCCTCTGTAGGGCTTCTGCGGTGCATTGCTGAGATTGCACCCGACCTTGCAGAAAGCAAAAAGAATGTCATCTTTCAGGTATAAAATTTTGCCCTTCTGCCCAGAATTAGCCTGAGAGAAAAGCCGACATTTTGAGATGCCACCACTGGTTTCCCTGTGAAATTATTTCTCAGAAAAAGCACAGAAATGCCTCACTGATGACATGTCTCTACCTAGATCTGGCTAGTGCTTCTGATTGATTGAAGCACCTTTTTAGCCAATCAGATGCTCTACCCAGATCTGGGTAGTGTCGTGTCATCAGTATGGAATTTCTGCGCTTGTTTGTCAGACGTCATTTTGCGGGGGAACCCGCAGTGGTGTTGCAAAATGTTAGCTGTTTTCTCAGGTTAGCCCAGAATTTACTTTTTACACTGTGTCTCCGGTATGTCCACCTAAACTCTGGCCAACTGTATGAATGTTTTGTTGAAAGGTGATGATTTGTGGCATATACCTTTGACTGTTATAGGTCACTAAGTTAAGTAAAAAAATGAGGGCACCTGGGTGTTTTTAATAAGGCCCTCAGTGAATCCTGCTCTGATTTTTCTTTCCCCCTCTGATTTACCAAATGTCCAAAAAATGAATGGAGAATTTAGCTGTTTTTCAGATGTCACAGGGCCTAATTTCACACACACCCCCTTCAAATGTAGTGATGACTAAAATTGGGGAGGAAGTAGAAAAATGTTTGGGGTGGGCTTAACTGTAACAGCCATAATTTCAAATTAATAATTTTTTTAACTTTGTATTATTTCTTTTTAGGTTGTTCCAATTCAACAGATTCTTCAAGTGGACACTCTGACTGGTAGTCGTGATGCAGCTCTAACATTCGTTACACAGCTGAAGCGCTTGGCTTTCTCAGTGTTTTCACGATGTCGTAAGAGCTTACAGCTGAATATAAATGCTAAATCCTTAACAGGATTTGGACCAGCTGCTAGACATGAGGCTCTGTTTCGCCAGAGAGAGGTAAGATTAACTTACCGGCATCTTGCACAAGACTTATTCTAGGTTTACAAGTACTCCAGAAATATATCCATGACTCCAACAAAGTTCTTATAGGGAGTCGTTTTGGCTCCAGCTTTGGACCCAAAAATGTTCAGCAGAATTATATTTTCTACCAGCCACAATTTTTAAACTGTTTGAATCCTAGTGAAAGGATACAAAGGTGTGTTGAATATGTAAAATTTTCTTTCCAGCAGCTTCCCTAGAGTAGGCATAAGGTATGTCATGTACGTAGCATGAAGTGACTCTACATTTGGAAAAATGACTCCATCATTTTAGGAGGGGGACACATCCTGACTTCAAAGAGTAAAGAGATTTGTAAACCCTGAATTATTGGTGAACTTGAGCAAAGCAACCAAGCAATAGACTAACTACACAAAAACAGACAAGATTTAACTCACAATACCATGACAGAATTATCAACGTTATGCTCAGGGTCTCTCTCTCTTTCTCATATCTTTCTCTTGCTCTTGGTTGTGCTCTGGGGAAAAGAAGGGATGCCTTGGGAATGATTTTGTGGCGGTTTTTCAGTAACAGAAGATGGATCAAAATGCACCACTTATGAGCTCATAGACCAATCAGGTTAACCATTCTAGTTTAATGCTATTGCATGACATGGAACAACTCATTTTGACTTTGATGATGACTTCTGTAACAGTTGTTGTAAATGTCATTCACCGCCCACATTCCTACTCTGGACAACACTAAACTTTCTCATGTTAGTTTATTTAGTTTATTTATTTATTGCTCTCTCTGTCAAAGGGTTATTGCTGTACAAAGGAAAAACTCATGTACCTCATTTTTGTAGGTGGAAAATGCCAAAGTGTACTCTGCACCTTATGTCTTGTGTCAGCCAATACCTTTGCCACCAGTAGACACAGGAGATGAGACTGCTGCAAGCTTGCTGGCTTCTGCTCAGAATGCATCTGTATTGTATTGTGGTTATTGTCTCTCCCATGATGATAACTACCTTCTTGCTGTTTGCACGGACAGTGTAGGAGAGTTGATCGAATCTTGTATCATATCAGTTGAACCACCTCTAAGGCCTGACAACAGGCCACGGAGGACAGCAGCACGAACAAAGGCACTCATAAAACTTTGGGAATTTTGTCAAGGTGTTATTGCAACATCTCTTATTCCTTGGAGGTTGGTGATAACCAAACTTGGGAGGATAGGCCCAGAGGAACTTAAAGGTGAGCAAATTATATCCTGTTTTTCAGCCTTGGATTACTTATTAATAAGTAGATAACCTGAAAGGTACATGGATTCAGTAGCAGCTGAATGCTTTCGCACTATAAACAACATGTTTACATATATTTACATTAATTTTTATATTATTACTTTTTGTTTGTAGACTGGAAAGAAATACTGAGCAAGACGTCTGTGCTCGGTGGTGACCAGATGTTTAAGGACACTTGCAAGTCTTGTTTCTCCATGAAACACAAAAATCGGCCGGCAATATTAGGAACCAGTCTTACTTCGCTGGAACCAGAGCCGTCAATCAGACTATACATGGCAAGAGGTAATTGCAAGGATCATACTTCAAAGTAAATTGAATGTCGTCTTTGTTATCTGGTTACGGCTCCAAGTTATATGATAGTGTGTCTGGTAAATTTTGTTCAACTGCAGTAATTGCACACTTATTTTGACAATTCTTTCAGTTCTATAACCAGTTGATTCATAGTAAATAATATAACATAATATATGTTACAGGTCAAATTTGATCTCAGGTTAATTTTGATTTAACCTAGGTCGACTCTCAATTTATGTTGTCCTCTAGCCGTAGTAGGCAAAGGAAATCAAGGATCAACCTAGGTTAAAAATTTTTAACCTGAGAACAAATTTGATGTGTAACAGTGTTACATGTAGCAATAGGACAATAGCATGATGATGTCATTTTATTACAACTACCTACATCCTTCAGTTTGTTGTTTTCTTCTGCAAATTAGGGCTATTGTTTTTTAAACCTCAGTGAGATTGAGAAAATTAAACAAGAAAGCAAAAGGAAATGAATTCTGGTAGTTGTAGTCAAAATGTTGTCATCATGAAAATGGCCTTTTGTCTCAACAAATTCTCCTCGTCTTTGTATTTCCATCGTTACTACTTGCCTTTCTTGTACTCTTGCTGTGCTATGCTACCAGGTCTTTTCCTCAAAGGCCAAAGACCTTGCTGGAGGCTTACTTTGGTTGAAACATTGAACATTTCTTTAAATTTTGAAACCCTTTTTTTTCAGCTTTACCAAAGGTCACTGCCTTGTTTGAAGGAAGCAGCAACTCTCAAGTATCTGTTGGCACTGTACCAAAACCAGATGTATCACAAACATACATTGCAGTAATGCCAGTTTCATCAATGAAGTGTTCCATTGGCAAAATTTCCAACACCAAGTCACATGCCTCACCTGACACAACAACTGAGACTGTTGTAACTGACACGGACATTCTTTTGGCTGGAGTGGATGATGATGAGAATGATCAAGACCCTCTGAGGCATTTGTTTCCTTTGTTGAATGCATCACCACCTCCACTGTCTCCAACAAGCTGCATGATGCCATCTCCACTGGATTCCTCTCCTATGCAGGGGACACCACCCTTGTCACGCCCACCAAAGCTTTCTGCTGCATCACCTGCGATGTCCGCACCCTCACCATTTCAACCAATTTCAAGACTTTCACCATTTCAACCTTTACATTCCACACCTTCACCGTCAATGGCAAACACTACAACTGCAGAATCCCATGGGCAGGAAGGTGAAGACAGCCTTGCTGTCCCACAAGCGCAGGGGTACATGATATCAACTGTGCAGACAGGAAAGATGCCAGTGACGTTTTGGGCAAACTCTTCTCACTCAGAAACAAATGATCCTGTTATGCTAAAGGTAATGACTCAGTACAATTTACTCTGTTGAAATAAATCTTGGTCAAAAGTGGAGACTGAAATTCTTGTAGCAAACTAGAACAACAATGTCTCTTGTAACAGATGTCATACATGGGGTCACATTACTTTCCTTTTTTGGTGAAGCTGTTAATCAAATCTTAATTGACGTCATTACCATAGCTGTAACTATATTGGATTTTATTTCTTTCTCTGTTCAGGCTGCTCTTCACATCCATAATCCAGACATAATGGAAGGAATCAATGGTTTTGTGACTTCGTGGCATGCCCTAGCTACTAAGTCACCCTGTCATGTGCTAAGGTTAGCCAAGTCTTCTTTTAACATTTTGGGCAGTTATTTTTATGTTTCACCCAGTTTGGTGCCAATTCCTACTGTTTGAATTTTGACAAATTTTCTGACACAGCTCCTTTAATCAGGAAGAAACGTTTTATAATTGACAAGCCCATCCTATTACAGATACAGTCAAACCCCTATATAAGTGGCTGGCCAGTTATCAAAATCCCCAAATTATTTTTTAAATACTATAGGTAAAACCCCTATTAACCCTTTAAGCCTTAAGAGTGATCAGCATGAAATTTCTTCTTGTAATATCAATGCTTTAGAAAACAGAGTGGTCATGAGAATTGAGTACATGATCAGGGAAGATGAGTCTAATTGATATTTCAACAAATTCTCCCCACTACCTCTATTGAAAAAGGATAGGGACAGTAAATGAGAATCTCAATTTTGATATTAGGGTTTAAAATGTTAAACGGCCACCCCTGTTAAGTGACCTTGGGCACCTTTTGGTCGTCCTGGTGAAGGTTTTTTATTGTTTTTTACCCCTATTAAGTAGCCACCCCAAAATAAATACGAGTGGTTTGGCTTTGTTTTTGATAAGTTGATGACAGATAAGAGTGTGAAATAGAAAGGGACAACTGATAAATACACGTTTATTGTTCTCTTTACGTGATAACATGTGGCTAAGCAATCAAACCAACCATAAAAATGCTCAAAATATATGTGCATACCTGGTTCATGTTGAGACCTTGTCGCAGAAATCTCTTAAAACTGGTATTGTGCAATTTTTGGACATTTTGCATGTATTATGTGCAAGAGATGTTAAAAGTCTTTAACATGCTTGCATTTGAATAAATTGATGTTTCAAGTAGGTTTCAGACCAATTACTGATGAACCCTTATTAAAATGTGTGGATTAATTGTGAGAAGGAAACTGATGTTTGGTCACTGTTGGGTTAATATGGGTTTGACTGTATGATATTATGTTGAAATACTGCTAAACAAATGGACTGACATATGTGCATAATTATTTTTAAAATTATTATTATTTTACTTAAAGGTCAATACTACAGACATATGATGCCCTGTCATGGCTGACTGTGGATCCTGTTTCCCGTGACAGACGTTCCTGTCTTCCTGTTCATCTGTACATGTTATGCCAACTCCATGACACACTTTCCGTTCTGTTGGAAAATCAGTCTTCATAGTTATAATTAGTACAAGAGCCAAGCTCGTGACACCAAGAGGTGTTAGTCAAATGTTTATTTTTAGTAAAATGGAGCTATTAAGTGCAACATTTCCTGAGCTCTTAAAGAGTGTCTTATTATTTTGTGGTGGGAATAGGGATAAAAGGTCCATTATAAGTTTTTCAAGCCTATAAATAATAAATTAATATTATTAATTTAATGAGACAGTACCTAAAATGACTATTCAAAAGAAGGAGTGAATGTATTCTTACAAAATGCATTTTTATTTGTTGTAAGTTCTCATCTAAGGATTAGAAGTGTGTATTAGGAAATAGAAAGATAATATCATGGAATTTCTTTGTACTTACAAGTAAAGTACTCTAAATATGTTGGTTTTCTCTCCATCTGTTTAACAATCTCCTCTATTATTATTTACTTTGTTTATTGTTATTTAAAAAGCTCAGAGCTTATTAAGGAAGGCATTTTTTGTATCAGAGGCTTTTTACAGGTTTATCTGCTCTAGTTCCTTTTAGTACTACTAAATAAAAGTAATGTATTCGATATTTTATTTCCATCCTGCTTTTGAGAACTTTGAATCCGATAGCTCACGGGTAGAATTTGTCGTATTACAAAGCTGCTAGATTATAGTATTTCAGTTGTTGTCTTAATTGTTTATTATGAGCTTTTGACTTTCAATAACCAAAGAACAGAAGCGGTTTTGTCAGTGTGTACCTTCCTTGTGCTTTTTTTTCTCCTTCTAAAATTTTACCTAATAATTTAAACACCTTTAGTTAGTTAGTTCTGAATGGTCACTAACTGTAAATGCTACAATTGACTAAAATTGCTCTAACTGGTTCCTTTGATGATAATTAAGCGTCTTTGTCATGTTAATTACTTGGCACAGAAATGACCTCAAGGGGAACATTGTTCAAATCATAGTATCTTTGGTCTCTCAAGAAGACAAATGCCTGCTTAAATAAGTAAAACAGTTACACAAGTGTATTAATTTTTTTAGGATGACAGGTTTGGGTTGCAGCTTGTCAATGGATGTTGCACTGTTTTAGCTAAGAGAACTGTTGGAAAGTATTTTAGATCACAAGAATTTTATACCAATTCTGAGAATCTAATAAGCTACAACTGTAGATGGTTGTAAATCATTACAAAATATATGAATATTAAGATATCATATGAATGAAATATTTATCGGTTAGCATAGTGAAAGTAGGTTCTAGTGTAAAGTTTAAGAGTACTTCTGAATCAGCTGTACATTCTCATATCTACACACATTGTTTGTCATGTGTGTCGTGCAATTGTTTACAAAGTATATGCTGTACCATCATCAATACAAGACTTCTATTTTTAATCTATCCTAATTTCAGAATTTGTGATTTCTAAAACTGGAAATGTTCACAGTGTTTGGAAGGGGGAAATTAACTAAAGGCTTATGTATAAATTTGCTTAGTTAAGATGGAGGCTTTGAGACCCAATTAACTAAAAAATCACATTAAAGCCTGAAAATATTTAGCTTGACATAATTATTAATGCTTGAAGAGTTATGGACATAATTTTACATGTATGGCTATGCTGGAGTAGAAACTTGATATACATGTATTTGGCCTGTGAGTCGGAACTTTCAGTACTGCTTTGTATCGTCTTAGCAAATACACCACAGCCTTGTATGATTTATTTCAATGTATTTATGAACAATATTACTTGTATTGGCCATTCAAGAAAGTGCATTCATAGCAGCCCTCACTGTAAGAAAGCTGATCACTATTGTCTTTTCAGTTGTAATGTTTTGCGCACATTTCATGTATTGTAAACTCTCATTTCTTATTTATAACATTTAATGATATTTTGTGTAATTATTTTTCTACCATTCTTTCTTGTTTGTTCTTTAAAATAGGAGTACAGTTGCTACATATGATTATTGTGGAATATTAACATTTACTTAGGTTAAACCTAATCATATTTTAATATCGTTATATCCTCACAGCCACCACAACAACTTGACAGTTGTCTAGAAACACTAATAACCTTTTTATGAGATTAAATAATAGTAATATATTTCAAATAACTATCACAGAAGTCTTAACACTAGTAAAAACGTTTTATTTTCCTTAACAGTATTCCTCCACCAACAAATATTTATGATCAATAACATTTTTGGCACTCTTAAGCATGGGTGTTGATTAATGTATTGGTTGTCTTTTAATGACCTATTTTGTAGTACTATTAAGAATTTATTAGAAAGTAACCAAAGTTGACAAATTCTGTTTAATGACCAAGGGAGATGTCACATCATCACGCAGAGGCCCCTGTTGACTAACTACATATTGCCTTTGGGTAACAATGAAATATTAGGACTGGATTTTAAAACAGCATTTTGACAAGCATGGAACAAAACTGCTTTCTAAGATACATGGTATCAAAATTGGCATTTCTAAAGATATTTGTATCATTGCAAAACTTAAAGTGAGGTGCAGTTCTGTTGTCAGTGTTTTATGAAGTCACTGAAACCCCTGTAAATCTTAGATTTTTTGTGTGAATGTAGATGGTCAGTGGGTAGAGGTAAAGGAGTGTGTGAAACAAGGCCCCATGTTACTCCAGGTTTGAAATAACGTCTTTTTCTCCCTGTGATTGACAAGCAGATACATAGTGTCTTAAACAAAACCAACCTGGTGTACTAGAATATTGTGAGAGCCTGTTTACTAGAAAATGGTTCGAGTTATTGCTCTTAAAAATATGTAAACCCCTCTATCTGGCATAAGGTGTGCTTGCTTAATCCTTAAAAATGTCTGTCACTACTAGGATGATTACCCAGTAGTCACGATTGTATAAATTCATTTGTGTTTCTTTTTTGTTGAATGTTCCAAGGTAGAAACAAATGTCTTTTTCTTGGGGTGTGTTATCTAAATTTTAAGTTTAGTGATTTAATGTTTTGTCACCCTCCACAAACCCCTCAAAATTATCAGTTAATTGAAGTTAGGTTCGCTCAATTGAACAGAAATTGCCTTAGTTTGAAAAAGCCATGTCTGCAGTGAATAGTTAGGGGAAAAAATTACCAATCTGGACTGAGCTGAAAGGAAACCAGATTGTCTTAGCTGCAGAATTTAAATAATAGAGATTGTAGATAGTGAATGTAGATAATACAACATTGTGTACGGACAGTATTTGTGAATGGACCAGAGGTTCATAGTTGTTTCCTCTCCACCCTTGTCTGCCCATATATACCAAACCAACGGACCCGAGTCTGTCTTGTCATGTAAATAATTTATTAGACAGACTTAACAATGCATATTTTCTGATAATTTTCCGTAGATTGGTAGACTTCGCTATATTTTTTATTTTCGAACTCTATTTCATATTAAGCATTTAATAGACATTTTTATTGTAATAAAAACGTTAAACATATTATTGTAAGACCCAGTCATAGAAAATAAAATGATATTTACATACAAAGTTAAACATTGCTTGTTTTTGGTTTATTTTCGTTTTGCCTGAAAAGAAAGGACCAACGGCCTGTTTCTTGTAAGTCCTGGGCCAAGTTGTTCAAAGCTGGGTTAAGATAACGCACGGTTAGTGCGAGATTTGAATTCGTATTTGAAAGCTTAAAAAGCATTTCAGTTTTAATTCTTTTTGTCTACAAGTTGATGATTGGAAGCTCTAAAAATAACACAAGAAATTATTCGAGAAAATGCTTTTGAACACAAGAAAAAGAAACCCAGGTTAAATTTAACCCCGGGTTAAGTGCTAATCGGCCTTCGAACAACTAGGCCCTGGTGGGTAACTTTTCAGGCCTGGAATAAAAGCGTGTGTTCTTGCAAACAAACCAGTCCATTTGTTTTTGCGAACAAACTGATAGTTTATCATATTCTCTCCAAAACTATTGAAATTGTGATCATGAATGTGAACAAAACAGCTTTCCAGAGAGTAGGAAAAATGGGCACTAGGAAACAAAGATAAAGCTCAAATGAAAAGGTGAAAAAAAAATTAATATATAACAATGGTAATCATATTATTAACTGTAGTCAAACGTCTTGTACGATGTAAGTAGCCCCACTCACTTCTACAGGGGTCTGCCTAGGGAGTTGGTTGTTTCTTCTACCACCCAAGAGTCATGATTTTGAACCGCTGTCCGCATTTGTTCAAAGGTGGATACTGTTATCCACTCAATAAGTCTCCATCAAGTGTCTGAATAATTCCGCAGGGAGGGATGAGGTGGTAGTGAGACCACTAGCCTCTCACTTATGTAGTATGGGTTTGACACCAGTTTACCCCTCTCTTCAAAACACCAACTATCCCAATTCCAATTTGATCTGGAAAATGTCTCCAATTAGCTGGGGACACTTACAAGGCCACAGGATTATCAGTTCTTGAGCTCTCAAATGTCCAAACTGTCTCCAAATAACTGTTTGTTTGTTTGGTTGGTGTTGTCTGTGTTGAGAGTTACTAGTAGTGGATCCTACACTGTATTGAGTTGGAGATGACAAGACTAACAATAATTATTACAACTGTGAAAGGTTTGAACCCAGCAGTCATTTCAAAAGTAGGTTGAGTTTGATCGTCTGGGTGAACGTAGTCCTGAATAGGACTATTGTTGTTGATAGTGACCGACGTTTCGACAACCTGTGCGGTAGTCATCTTCAGCGTCAATTACAGTCTGTAAGTTTTTGTTTGTAATAATTATTAATATTATTTATGTTAATAACTATTATTTTCATCTGTGATGGTTATCAATGGCAAATTCCGTCTAAACATATCACAATATCAAAATCAATAATGTTATACTACTACATGAGAAATTTATGCAATTTGATTGGCTTAGAGCAGTGGTATTTCAGCTTAATTTGAAATACCTACATGTGAAAATTACAAAACCTTTGCGGGTAGTAGTATAAACAAATAATAGCATGATTTGTACGTGATTTTTGGCATAAATATCAGTCTCGTTACATTTCAAAATTGTCTCAAATTTCACTCGCCTAGCGGCTCGTGAAATTACGTATAACAATTTTGAAATATCATTCGTGGTATTTATGCCAAATATCACTACAAATCATGCTATTAACTATACAAATGTTCTCAAGAATTTTTTTGTAATAATAATTCATCAGTTTACAAATATTAAAATACAAAGACACCTGTCACAGTTCAAACTTTTTGAGTCCACTGACGAAATCAATCCATTCAGAAATGAATAAAATTCTTAGTAAGAGTGAAAAGGTTAAAGAGTAAATATGTATGTTTACACACAGTCCACTACATTACAGCTACTCCTTAAAGGAATATCAAAACAAACAGTATGAGTGCAACAAATATGCCTAACATCCATGACAGGCTGGAGCCCTTCTGGCTCATAATTTTCTTAGTTCCGTCCTGTGGGTCTATTTTTCTTGTCTTCAGTGGGAAAAGTGTACTATCCTGCACCCCCATGATAATGTCCCTAGCTCCTAGCCAAGCCCCTGGGCCCATTAATCTGTATTGGGCAGGTATACATGTACCAAAGAAACATCTGAAGGCCAGCTGTGGGTCTGTAGTGAGAAGGTGCCAAAGATTTGGCTTTGCACCAATCAAGGAAGCAATTTCATCGATATAGCTGATGAAATTCACCTGTCGGCAAATGATAATTTGACAATGATCATTAAAAGGAAAATGTCTATAGAATTTTATGCATCCCAAACTGTAACTGATGTTTTACATTAAACAGTCTGACCAAAATAATGAAACACTCAGCCATTGGAGGGGCGTAGTTCAAACATTATGGAATAGTCACATTTTTGATGGCCTGTCTCTATCAAGTGCTAGTTCTTTGTTAGAGTGAATCAAGGCGTTGTGGGTTGAATGAAGTCTATGTACTAAAACATTGGTGGTGCTGTTGCGGGTAAATTCCTTTCTCAGGTTACAATCTAACTTGATTTGGAATTCCCCTTCTTTCCTAGCCCTAAATCTTTATTCAGGGGAGCAAAAAGAAAATAATTTCAGGTTTAACCTGGGAATGGAGTTTACCTACAACAGAGCTACACTATTGTTGGGAACTAAAGGGTAACGTAAAAATCAAGAAAAAAATTAATTAGGTGAATGAAAAGAGTAAAATTTGTCAAATGAAAGGCATTTTATACTTAACTTTATAGAAAACTACACTAAGTCTAGTGGTATCTTAAACTGCAAGGGCCCACGCTTCCAGATCCAAAGAAAGGTTGGAGACCTAGCCTCAAAAATATTTTTCTGGGCCATGTTAGCCTAAAAAATATGATGAGGGCCTCGGGCCCATTTCTCAAAAGTTCCAATAGCTTTTCAGGCCTGTAATCAAATATTCAATTCAAAATATAAAGAATAGCCCACGTCCAAGCTAACAAATCCATTTTGTTGTGTTCACTGGCAATTTAATCATATATTAACAGTCAATTCTCTCTAAGACAGACACATACGATTGTTTGGAGTACAAAGTTGTACCGTCCTGCAAACTTTGGGCTCAAAATGGAAAAAACTGTAAAAGTAACTTCTTTTGTTTTAATTAAGTGATCGACCCAGAAGTCGCAACAGCTAACCCAGCATGTTAAAAGAAGGCCATTATAGACTGTTTTCTTACCAAATGAAAGGCACGGCAGCATCTTACATTATTAGCTTCTAGTGTCTTCTGTCTTAGCTCCACGTCATCCATCATTGTTTGACTATCAGGAAGTCTTGATTTCCCAGTGAAAACACTCACTGCCCAGCGGGACTGTATCTCAGCAATTGGTGGAACTGGACCATTCACACGTACTGCTCCAATAATTGCAAGAGTGCCTGGTTTTAACATTGGTGGGAACACATACTTGAAGAGAGGGAGATGCGTGTCTTTTGGATGTAGAAGTGTGTCTGACAAAATTGGAAAGCTGAACTTATATCCAGTGCCAAAGATAATTGCATCAATGCAATCTAGTTTAGAGCCATCTGTTAACTGGATGGTGCTCCCCTGCACCTTGGCGATGTCTGCTTTGACTTGAATGGAGCCGGTCATTATGCGGTTTGGCAGTTCATCATTTATAATTGGAAATCTCTTGTGCGGTGGCTGCTCACCCCCAAAGCCAAAGTTTGCTACTTCTAACTTTGCCTCCAGTTTGCGACGTAATACTTGAGCACGGATCGATAATGGAATTGCCTGAATAAATCTGCTCAAGAAAGTACAATCTCCTGGTACTCCCCTGTCCGCCAAACGAGAAGCTATCCAACCACCACTACGAACACTCAGATAAACCTGTGATGCATGGTGACTTAGCTCGCAGGCAATGTCCCCTAGAGATAACATAATGTAAAGGTTTAGGAGTGGATTTCACTGAATTACTGGTAAGTGCTCTGCTTCAATATGACCACAGATTAAAATAATTTGCATTGCACAGATTTGCTACAAATTATATGAAAGTAGGTAGTCAACAATCAATTTGCCTGGAGCCTTGTTACCTTTTAGGGTTACATTGCAACAGTTTGCCAAGGTGAAGGTAAATGAGGTTTTATCTTCAGCTTTTAAAGATCGCACTATGTTCAAATGACTAACAGTTCTGGGGAGGGGGGGGATACTGCCTTATATATGCCATATAGGTATGTGCCGCCCCATTGAGTAGGTTTTTTGCGCTGTTTTGGTCTGAAAATGGGTATACACTTTGCCCATTTTGGTCTGGAATTGGGTATGGTTTTCCCATATGATGGTACAGTACGGTAGTACTTGGTGTGTACCCGCACTGCACTATACAAGGTATGTAGATTTGAATCAGGCACCGGACGCGGGGGAGGGGGTTGTCAGAGGGGGTGCTAGCAGCTATGTAGAAGGTTGGTAGGAGGGTAAATGAAAACCAGACTTAACATAATTCTTTCATTTAAATTGAATAAAATATTAAGCCAATCCATTTACTAATCAAATATCTTTAAATACCTGCAGAGTTTCCAAAGCCCACCACTACTACTCTCTTTCCTTCAAACTTCTTCCATGTCCTGTACTCCTTACTATGAATGACGTCACCATTGAACGTATCCATGCCTGGAATGTGCGGCATTCGAGGGTCCCAATTCACTCCAGTACAAACCATAACAAAGTCGAACTCCTCCGTTCTTTCCTTGCCTAGTTTCTTATCCAAATAATGCACTCGCCATCGACCAGACTGATTGAAATCCGTGCATGGCTCCACTGACGTGACTTTTGACTCATAACGAATCTTCTCTTCCAGTCGGAACTGTTTGGCATAAAGTTGAAAATACTCGAGATACTTTTGCTGTGGAAGGTAGTTTGGCCAGTCTTTAGGCATAGGAAAATCGCTATAACAGCTCGTGTGCTTGCTGGTGTTGGTGTTCGTAGAGTAAAACACACAGCCTCTTCGTTCGGTTTCTTCTGAGAGTTCCGTGTACTTCCAAGCGCCTCCAAGCCATGGATCTGATTCGAAAGCGACTGGTTCGAGACCTTCGTCTAAACAGCACTTGATTGCAGTTAAGCCTGCAGCTCCAGCTCCAATAATAGCGACTTTCTTTTGCATAATGCTTCACTGACCTTGATAACCCGGCACCTTGCACGAATCTAAAAACTCTAAAAGATCCGAATTACGGGAATCACGCGACTTTCAGGGTCCGAAACTGGACCCTAGTCTCCAGACTCATATACTGAAAACCGGCCATGTATCCTCCATGTTTTCTGTTTTCCCGCTGGAAAATTTACAAACATGACAACGCTGTGTTGCAGAAAGAATGGAAAATGCAGCACAAAGGTTGATCGATCACACTAGGGCACAAAGAAATGTTGGTAGTGCAAGAGGGGAAGATACTTTTCGTGGTCAATACAGCCCTGGGGTAAGTAAGTGGCCCGGTTCAAGTGTTCAAAGTCTTGCAATGTTTCTTGCT